TCCAGAGGACACATCCGTGCTCTACTCCTCCCGCAGGGAGAAGCAGCAGAAAAAGGTGAAGGAAATCTTAAACAACTTTCCCTTTAGTTTCACCACAGCCACAGTGAGATGAAGTCCTTTGATTCTGGAGAAGCTTAGCTTCCATTTTCCTACTGGCTTTAAGGGTTTGTTAAAATTAAGCTGATGGGTGTCTGTACATGGCTGTAAGTGTCCAGCACAGGGTACCTGCACAGAAATATTGTTATGTGACAGTGATATTTTTGCCCTGAGGCCAGTAAAGTTGTGATGTCAGCCTGGTCCTAGTAAAAATGTGAGTAAAAAGGAAGGTTACTACATCTCTAAATAAACTTTTTTCTTCCTGCCATTGGTGAGTGACACAAACTAATTTGCAGGGGAAAGGGTTTTTTTCACTGTTATGCAGTTACAGTTTCAGTCTCAGCTGAGAATAGCCAAGTCCAGCCAAGTAGTTGGAGATATGGATAATATTCTGTACAACAGACTTCTCCAGATCAAAACCAGCTCTGCAGTTAACATCTTACTGCTATTCCACTGTAACTCTTCAATAATTTAAAAATATTAAATTATTTTAAAATATCAAATAATTTTAAAATATCACAGCATGAGAAGGCCTAAGGCTGTGATTTCCAGGGTATCCCATAGCAAGAGGACCCAGCAGCACTAGCAGACAGCAGAGCTACACAGTTAGGGAAGCCAGGGCCGGCACTCACCAGAGACATGAGGAGGAGGCTTGTGAATGCTCTCACAATGCTCCCAGGTGCCTGAGAGTCTCCTTCTCTGATGAGGGAGTTTTCTCTCTCCAGTAACCTTTCCTTGAATAGCCAAGAGTGTGATTGGGACCATAACCATGTTCTCATTACCTGCTTGTGATGGCTGAGGCATGAACTGTTCAGTTTTGGGTTTTCTAAAACAGAGGATGCAGACAAAAATTTGATGTATGCTGCCATCTGCTGAGGGCTTCATATTATCGTAAGCACTTCAAATGTATTTCTGGTAGAGGTAATGCTGCTGAGAGTAAGGGTACCCAAATAAATGGTACATGGCAGTCACACTAGTATAAAAAGGATTTTAAGCCTCCTAGCACTTGACCGTCTCTGCAAAATGTGCTTCAAAAAGTTGGATATCTGTAAGAAGGAATTATGATTTACTGGTAAGTTTATTTTTTAATTGCAAATTATTTCCCCTAAGGGCTTTATGCTGTAATGCTTCAAGACAAGTCTTGTTCTTTAGTCTTCTTACTTTTGACTCCCTCCCTCTCTCACCTGAAAGCTTCAGAGAGACTGTATTTGTTTTAGGACCACACCTGAGAGACAAAGGCTTCATTCCTACTATTGCCACTGCAAGCCACTTCAATTCATAGAATCATAGATTCAACTGAGTTGGAAAAAACCTTTAAGGTAATCAAGTTCAACGTTTATCCCAACAGGAATTAGGCAAATGCTGTTTTGGGAAAGCCACAGGTGGTTACCCAGCCGCTGGAGCTCCACCAGCCTGCCTTGCACCAGGCTCAGCAGTCCTTGAATTACGGGTATGCAGCGGAGCATCCCACTTGCTGCAGCTAATTCCCATTTATTTAGTCCTCTGCTAGAGAATTAAAGCAGTTGCTTTGGCCTTACCTTCTAAGGTAGCATTTTGCCAACCTGTTTTTTGCTGTGTGGCCATACCCAGCCCTGGCTACGGGGACACAGATGTGTGTGCTGGCAGCCCTAGAGCAGATGTGGGTACCAGAGGCGAGGATAAGCTCCTCACTCAGCTGCTAGTCATGTGCCTTCATCTACCTTGTATAAATGCACTCCAGCATAAGGAGATGGGGGATCATTAATGTTTTCTCTCTTGCCCATTGCATTTTACACTTGTATTGCTCAGACTGGCCGCTAACAAAGTGGTCTTCAGCAAAATGAATCAGTTAAGTAATCAGTATTTTTTTAATCAGGAAAAATTGGTCTAGTTGTTTTGTGCCATCCAGAAGGCTGCATTTTTACCTCTCCCCTGCCAAATCTTGAAGCAAACTGCTCAGAATCCTACCCATCCAACCAGTGTCAATGGCGGGGACACAATCTGCTGTACTTCACAGCAAAAACATGTGACAAAAGCAACAAAACAAACTCAGAAGCCTCTGCTAATGTAAAACACGTAAAAACAGAGATTAAAGGCAATGATTGAGCATACCCTTTCAGTTCTGATAAGAAACACTTCCTCATACTTTTCCTTGTCCCTTCCTTAAACAGCTCAAGTCAGCTCACTTCTTACTGTGCTTGATGTAATCTCAGGCTCCTGCTGCCCACAAGTGATAGTGCTTGTCACAGGGCTATTTGTTGAAGAGATTTCATCTGCACATCTTAAAATGGTACTACACTCACAGAGATACTGGAGAGTGTGTACCTTTCAGGGATCAAACTACAGCAAGATTTATGGTGCAACACTTAGATTGTAAGATTCTGACCTGCCTTGTTTCGATGTTGAAGACAGTAAAAAATGGACTAACCAGATCCATTTTTTTTTAGTTTAATGTGCAATTCTTGAATTTCCATTTACAGAGTTATATGAATCTTGTCAGTGAGACAGCCCCTACGAGCAGAGCTGTAAGGCATTGCCACCTCTGTGCACTGATTGCTTCCTGGTGCACTATGTATTAGCATGTTAAAAGCATGTCACCTCTCAGGAAATGCTTCAGCTTTCTCAGACACCAAACTTAGGTGTTTGGTTTTAGTCTTATCTCAGTATCTTCAGAAGTTGCCTTATTTGTACCTCTCAAGTGAAAAAAAAAGAGTTTTGAATTGGCCACAGGAGATTTTATCCATGTGATGGATAGTGTCTGGGAAAACTGCACGTTGAATAAAAGTCACGTCTGGTTTATCCAAACTTACCAGCTTTGTCTCAATTTCCACGCTCATGTATCATGAATACAGGAACAGGTGATGAATGGCAAAGGAATTTTTCTTTACATGCTGAACATTTCTTGTGAGGTTGGGTACATTTCCTGAGAGTCTAGTACACATTGATGCAAGTTTTCTCCACGAGCAGTGCATAAAAGCAGGTTGTATTTCTAAGGGACACTATGGCTGTAACATAATCGTATGATAAAGCAACCATTTTAACCAGAGATGTGAGTTCACAAGCTAGAAGCTGTTTCAGCAGCCTCTTTAATAGTGTAGCAGATATACACCCCTCTAATAGAAAGATCTTAAGTACTTCCAAGGTGTTTACCATAAGTCTCCTAATCAGGATTAGTTAAACTAGAGCTGCCTTCAGCCCTGCCTGGTTTGGCAGGCCTTTGTCACACACATGTGGTGTAGCCAATTATTTTCATTGATAAAAGAGGAGAAAAACCAAAGGAAAAAAGCAAAAGGTTTGGTAACCTGAACTAGGTATACTCATAAGCATCTGCCATTGATCTGGGGGTTAGTGTGGCTTCTTGTTGAGAAGAATTCACTACCTTTCTACATTTTACATTGGGTTTCTCTTTAACGTAAAGATCACAATGGATACTCATTATACAGTCTTCTCATAGAAATAAAAGGAGTCCAAACAGAATTTTCAGGAGTCCTTTCAGAAACATGAAATAACAACTCCATGAGCTCAGACAGCAGTGCCCTCATCTCCAGACTGCTAATAATTCTAAAACACAAGCCCTGCTGGGGCTGTGAAAATGTTATGGAAACAACCAGTGAACATTAAAGCACTCCTGAAAACTTCCTAGTTACACAAGGGCTCAACTTTGTTTTTATTCCCATCATGGTTCTGTCAAATTTCTCATTTTATTCCAGTTGTCATATCAGCTTTGCAATAATGCTTTCCTCTTCTTTTCAACAACGTGTCAGGTTTGTAAGTGCTGTTTTCATTGTACTGCAGTTTCTCTAGCCAGGGTGAAAAGTACTGATGAAGTGTCCTCTGAGATCAAAGTCTGTATCCTTAGAACAACTTGGAGGTTGACAGTTTGTGCGGGTTTGCTGTTCTCTCTCGATTTTGATCCAACACATCACAGTGAAAATGCAGTTCCAGGTCCACCAGCACTTTCTTGCAGCAGTGGTGGATGACAGTGGTGTTGCAGATACTGATTTAGAAGAACACAGACTGCACCCAAAACCACATTTCAAGCAGATCAGCACACTTGATAAGATGATAAGATCAATTTTGGCTGATATTGAAAAGCTCTAACAATATTATCCATTATTCAGCCCACCTAGACCCAGAAAATCAATTCTAAAATTGACAACTTCCACCCAGGATTTTTACAAAGAGCAAGTGCAAAACGATTGGGTGTTTTCCAACCTAACAACACGAGGCTGTTACATTAAAACGTCTTGTCAAACAGGAAACCACAGCAGCACTTCAGATATTTTGTCCTTTGCCTGGCTGACATCAGTTCATCTGCATAGTGTACTGATGTCACTAACAGGTACAAAAAGTGAGGGATCTATATTGTCCGGTCTGCAGAGAAAGAGAAGGAAAACATGGAAGGTGACTGAGCATGAGTGCCTTAGTGAACTGTACTCCATCGTGCAAGCCTGGGAGTATTTGGTGGCTATTGCACTCCATTGTGCATCATACATACAGCAATGATTTTGGCTCTTTAGCCTATTGAAAGGCAGTAAAGAAGCTTCTCTTCCCTTTCAGACTTTCAGTAACCTCAGAATTTTTCAGTAAAGTTACAGCCTGTGTGTTGCTCATTCCAGAGTTATTTACCACAAGAATACACCTCTCAACTCCCTCATTTTTAGGGACTTTGTTCACAGCCACATGATGAAAAATTAGAATCCAGAGAATATTTCTAAAAAGAGTTGAGCATATTTGCCAAATGCTTGCCAACTGCTACTTCCTGCTGGCTTTATGGCTTCAGAGAAAGCTACTGCTCCCTGTGCAAGTGTGGTCTTTATATATGAATACTTCCAGGGAAGAAGTCTTTTTGTCATCTGATTCTTGGAAGGTAAGTGTTAAATAACAGCTAACAACCTGATCTGAAGTTGTTCTGGTCTTTTACTCATTGTTCCTTAAAAACTTTATTGCGATAAAGCCTCCTGGGTTATCAGTCTTAGAGCTTTTTCTACGTGTGAAATTCATAGCTGACAGTAAATACGCATGCCCATCATCCAGCATCCAACTGCCTCTTCCATCCAAAAGAGGCTGCATGTGCAGCAGTTTTCATTATGTACAGCTACCAGTACCAAAAGGAAATGGTACAAAGTAGTCTGTGAATGTACAAAGTTCAGAGCAGGTGTCCAGAAGAGTGTGGTGAGTCCTTCTGTGAGGCTGTGGGTGTTCAGAAGCACCATTGCTCTCCTCAGGTCTGCAGCTCTTCTCTCTGTGAAGCAAAACCAGTTATACATCTATTCAAATGCTTGTGTTGCTGCCTATTGAACTCTGAAAGGGAATGAATATTTTTCCCCTGCTGTACTAGGGTCACCAAAGGAACTGCAGGGCTGCTGGAGGCAGGACTACCAGCAGAAGTGTGTCAGGAAAACACACCACCACCACCACCACAAGAGGTGTGATGTGGTCCAATTCCTACTGTGTACACTGTTAACCCAAGCAAATGCCAGTAGCTTCTCCCACCACTTTAGTTCAACAGTTTGCAGCCTGTGCTAAGACAGGAGCATAAGGGTCATAAAGAAATAAGTTTTCAGGGGATGGAGGAATATATTAGTAATAGTGGTAGATACTGCATGCATGGGTCTCCTACATAGAGGGAGGGGGTAGGCTTTGAAGCTTTGAAGGGGTTTATTCTGTTTCACAGTATCACAGTATGTTAGAGATTGGGAGGGACCTCAAAAGATCATCTAGTCCAATCCCCCCGCCGGAGCAGGACTTTTAGTTGGAAGGCTCATTAGCAGGCTATATGAGACATCCCTGTGAGGATGGTAGATAAAACCCAGGGCTAGCTGCAGATCCTTTCTGTTTTGCAGGGATACCTGTGAGCCAGGCAGAACAGCCTGGGGTCTCCCAAATGGCTCTAGATGCCTCTCCTTAGGCAACAGATCCTTGCTTGGGATTCCTCCTGAAGCACAACTCTTCTGCTCAGCTGATTCAACCCAGCATCTCTCTGGCAACACTGGAGGGATACTGACAGCAGAGAACCTGGTCTCTGGAGAGCGGGTCACCCTTGGATCAGGTGAAGGTGGCTGCAGTTTCCCCCATTTCCTTAACTCTGCTATTCTCTCCTTCCAGCCAGCACCTTCCCCAATTCCTTTGGCGCCCTCAGCTTCGACTCCCCAGGCTTTTCTGTAGCTGCCTCACAGCTTTCAGGTAAAGTCCCTTACACCTCCCCACTCTGTGCCTCCAGGCCCCCTCACCAGTCACTCCCACCCATACTGATACATGCTCTTCTCTATACCGCTGCCCAGTGCTCCCTGCATCTTGTTCTCTCTGCCCTGCATGTGGACCTGCTGCAATCCCCACATGTGCACTCAGAATGCATATGTCCATACAACATATCTCAGCTGTGACAAATATGACCTAAACTATGTGGCAGAGCAAAGCAGCAAGCAAAGACAGAGAGACAGGGCAAAACTAGACCTCCATCTGTTCATGTATCCAGTCCAGGAAAGAGGTGGTTCGGCTGTAGACACCCGGCTTGTTCTTTTCTGCACAGCCCACTCCAAAGCTGGTGGTCCCCACCAACTTCCAGATACTCCTGTCTTCACATGCTAAAGGGCCCCCACTATCTCCCTGAGGACAAGGAGTTAGAACAAATGTTAGTGCCTCAGAAATGAAGTGGAAGATCTATTTGGGGGGTAGGGGGAGAGGCGTAGTCTAGTAATTCAAAGTCTTCTGTATCTGCTCTTTTCTGGGTACTGGGAAAAGCATATGTTATAGTAGAAGTCAGAGACTTAGAGATGTGTATTAGATCATACCTTTCTTTCCCTAATTAGCAGTACAGTACAAGAGAAGCAGTGTTGAAGCCTGCTGTTAAGCAACATCTAGGTGCTGGGGAGCATGCCTGTCCTGCAGCAGGCCATTGCTGATCTGCAGTCTCCACACCATGGCCTTGTTCTCTCACAGCTGCTTCTCTCAAAGAGCTCCTACCTGTTGAGCTTAGCTGAGCCCAGGGTTGCAGCAAGCTTGTACCCCACCTCCTTCCCTGCCTGCTCCTGCCTGCAGTCTTACACAGTGCTTTTCTGCCCCTTTCCAGGCACTTTGCTAAGCAGATTCAACTCAATGGACTCACATCTACATACTGAAAACTCCCAACTTATTTTGATGGGGCAGTTTCCCTATGAGCATCAGAGTCAGCACAACAATGGAAAACAAGGGAAGTTGGAACAAGCCTCTCCCTTCGGTGAGTATAGCTTGTTTTGTTGCTTGGAGTCGTGCTGAGTGCTGCCTTTGGGCAGCTCCCATAGGCATAGTGATGAGATTGGGGGGGAGTGCAAACAGGGGCATAAATGGATATCTGTGCACCTCATGTCTTCTCTTTGTCTTGCTTCTTGTGAAACTGGGACTGAGCATACCTGGAAACATGAATTCCTTCCTAGTTCTTGCTCTTCATGCATGACTAGCATGTTGAGTCCACATTAGTGTGTATGGGGATGAGACCCAGCACAAGGTGGGCACTCTCACGACTCTGACAGTGATTTTGAAGCATCACTGCACTGTTGTGAAGGATGCTCTGATTCATCACTGCTATGAATGCTCTCCTCCGGAGTCATTACCAGTCCTTGGAGTTACTCAGACACCTCTCCCTTTCTTCCTTCCCCTGCTTCACTCTACTCTTTCCAAAATCTCAATGTTTCTTTATTGATGTACACTTTGGCTGCTTTTGACCATGGGGTCTCTACACCTTGCAGGCCTTCAGAGCTGCTCACAATGCAGTGCAGTACAAGCCAGTGCAGTGCAGAGGCCACAGCCAGGGCAAGGAAAGGATGGCACCACACTGTACCACATGCAAGAAATTAAAGAATGTCTTAAGTAAATTTGGCTTCAGAAGTAGCAGATATAGGCCACAGATTAAGCATAAGAAGGGAATTGTAGCGTATGAATGCACACACATTCACTGGTTGATATTCATGGTAAACGGAGTAAATGGCACAAAACCAAATGTTTGTCCAAGAAAAGCCTGGGAGTGCCTTCTGATAACTTATCGGTCATGTTTTTCCATTGCTGCTGTTAATGAGCTCGGTTGCAATTTGGAAACTTCCATACCTGGCACGTGTCTACCCCTCCCTTCAGGAAACCGGCACAAAGCATTGAAGGACTTATGATCCCTCCATAGACATCCCTGTGGTTGCAAATTGCATTAGAAATCAGAGGAACACCTGCATAATTCATGGTGTCAGATGTATCACCTGTTAAAAAAGAAAAGGAAAAAAAATCCACAAAGAAAAAGCTCTCTATTGCAGAAACTAATCTCTAATTACACACAGAAAGTGTTTCAGTATGTGAAGAATTGGCAAGCAAGGGTGAAAGTAATGTGGTTAAAATGACACCAAACAAATAAAGGCAACTGGGTGTCATCACATACAAAATCCAGTAACTAGCGACTCTGTAGAGATGTGGATTGTCACAGTACGTAATACAAAGCTGTACGTTGTGTGTTTTTACTTCAGACTAGAGAATCAATGACAATAATGAACTTAAAAGTTGATTGGACAGTGTCTTCTATACCAGTGCAAAAATCCATTTTGAGTTTATCACCTGTTCTGTTAGCAAATCATCTGCAAATATCTGATTTATTTTATAAATATTTATTTTCTCCTGGGTCTAAACGGATCATTTCTGTAAATGGGAGTATTTGCACAATGTCTATTGTCCATTTATAGCTGACTTTTATGTGGTAAACCTTGCTTTCATTTTTTCCTCACCTTTCACTGTTACCAGTAGGTCAGGTAACATACTGTTCTTGCTCTCTGAACAACGGGAACACGTCAGTTGAGACAAATGAAGAATGATAAAACCCTATTACTTGAAAATTCAAGCATTTTCACATGGAAGTGATTCACTATAGATTATTGATTAATATGACCTGTGAGTAATAGTAAGAGAAAAAAAAGAATTCCCTGCTCACAGATCTAATTTCCATATCATCCAACCTGCCTGAAAATGCATACATGCTGTCTCTGAGGAAATGGATGGTCGATCCTTGCATTCATCTTGTGCTTTCTATGATTGAAGTTATAAAGGACACCACCTGTTTGGCTGAGGCTGAGTACAGCATTGATGCAGTCCTCATGTCATTTTCAACCTTTTCACAGAGCATACCCATCCATTCCTGATGATAAGGGCTTGTACAGCACTTTTACATATTAGGGTAAGCATAACATCTAGGAATAAATCTTGTCCCCCCTTCCCAGATATTCCAGAAAATCTAATGTTGAACAACCAAATCCTGTATTTACTATGTGTGAGATGTAGTGTAATCAACAGTAGGTCATTTAAAATACCTCCTTCCACGGTTGCTCCCCATCCTGATACCCAGCACATTTTCCCTTCTGGGAACTGTTCACCAAAATTAGGCAGACAAATTGGCTCTATGTGACCTGGTTTAAAAAATAAAAAGAGAAAATTGCTTTTAAAATTTAGCAAATTATTGTGACTCAGTAAAACTTTCGGCATGCAGTGAAGACGGGCAAAAGATTTGGCGTGCAGTGAACTTCTTATGAACACCACCCACTCCCCACATAAACAGCTTGGCAGTTCTGCAGGTCTTTTGTCTTATGGCCAGTTCCATAGGTTTGAATTAATACCTACCCCTGGCCTAATTAGTTTCAAGTATGAAGCAACAAAAGGAAATGTTCATACATCAATTAACTGAAGAATGAGCAACAAGAAATGCACCATGTACGCAGCTGACTGGTAGATCAGAAGAGACCCCACAGCACACTGCTTGGGCAGAGAAATGGCTTTAGCTAACCATGGCACAACCGCAGAGTGCCTCCTAATAGCTTTTGTGCAGTGGCACAGAAAGAGCCACACGTGCACATCTCTGCTCTCTTCTGAAAAGGCAACAAGACATCTTTTTTGCTTCCCACCAATTGGCTTATATCCTAGGGCACGCAATGCAGTGCACTACAGTCAGCATTTGATGCTTGCGGGAACAAACTGACATGTAAGGTGAGCTGGCACTGAGCAAAGGGAGGGAAGATACAAGGTATTACTGGGTAATTCCTAGTGATTCAGCTCTGCACGGTGCCATGGTCCCAGCTCAAGATACAAAGCACCCACTGTGGAGCCTCCAAGACCTCTGACCTGCCCCCAGTCCCCACAGGGCATAGCAGGTATCTCACTCAGGTGCAGTGCTATTGCTGTTCTTGACAGACTCCCAAACTTCTTCCTGGGCGAAACAAAACACCACTAGCTGAGATATAAAGCAGAACAAACTCAAGCTTAATTTTCATTCAAGGTGGAAGTCTAGAGTATTTCAAGAGAAATGATTTAGGAACTGACAGTCTGTATGTGTCAGAGAGAGACAGCTCTCCTTTGCAGAGAGCTCACAGTGCTTAGGAGGTACTGGCAGGTGACCATTTCAATTCATACACATTATTTCAATTCACTAGCTGTGTCAGCTGTAGGTAGCATCCTGATGAAGAAACAAAAGTAGTTTTAATTTAAAAGCATCGTTACATTTGAATTGCCTTTTCTTCTCTTTGAAATTCAAGCTTAACTTTCAGCTTTGAAAGCTGATGGATCTCCATATACTCACAGAAAGGACAAAAATCTCTGTGATCTCCAAGTAAAATGAGGTAGGGTGTTTATTTTAGATAGGAAAAACACTTAGAAAGAATAAAGTTAATGTTTGCCTGTTATTAAATGCCTTCAGTAAGCCTATACCAGAATAGACTGGGAACAATTTGCAGAGTGCTGTGGCTGTGTTGTTGCTCTCTATGCCTGGATATTGAGAGGATTTCTGAGGCATTTCTGCCAGTGTAGTCTGAACAGGGACCACTGCCTTGCTGTCACAGCAGCAAACTGGCTACATCCACACAGCACATCCATCATTGCTTGTAGAGGTGGTGGGGATACACTGAACTCTCCTGGGTCAGGCATAGGGCACCAACAGAAGTTTCCCTGTCTGTGCTGGGAAAGACCCTTCATTTTTTAGCTAGAAAGTTTAAAAAGCCAAGTGAAAGCTAAGGGGAAGAATTACCATTGAGAGCAAGCGGTGCTGCCAGTTTCATCAGTGCTATATCATTTCTCATTGTCTTGGGTTTATAATTCCGATGGTATATAATTTTTTCCACTGAATATGGGTGAACCTGGGTATCTTGCTGAGTCACAAAACCAACCTGCACACTCCAGGACTTCGGCAAGTACAGGCTGAAACAAAGAAGTAGGAGAGAGTGAAAAAACTTCAAGAAAGCCTTCAGGTTGTCTAATTGCCCTCCGAACTTACAAACTACATTAAACTCTACAGGCAAATAGTGACAGTCTGCTATAATTGCTAACTTATGTATTAATAAAGTGAAGTAAGGTGAAAGTGGTCTGGAGTTTATAGGAGTGAGAAGAGAGCTTCTGCACTACTAGCAACAAATAAGGCGCTCATTATAAAAGAGAAGGCTATGTTTATAATTAAACAAAGAAGAGGAGGCTAAATTACAGTTTAGCATCTATTTACAACTCAAATACCACTTGCACAGCATAAAAAGAAGCAGCGAGTATGTGGTAAAGGGCACTAAGCACAGTACAACTTCCTAACTACCACTGATTGATCCTGTGAACTTGAGAAGGATTGTGTAATTTATCTTAAAGCTCCAAGGTATTGAGCAACCAAGTACGAATCCTTGTACCTGTTAACTCAGATGCAATATGCAGAAACTGCATATCAGGATACCTAAAATCTAGCTCTTCAAAGTTGTTTTAAGCTGATTTCCCAGGAAGCCAGGAGTGCCCATAACATCTGAAAACCGAGTCTCCTGATATAGCCCACTTCTTGGGGAGAGTCTTTTTTTCAGTAGAGACTTGCACTTACACGAAAGGGGAGAGAGGTGGTTTAAATGTAATGGAGCAAGCCCATGAACTAAGGATAACCTGGTCTCTTCTGCAGTTTATTCCTTAGAGAAAGCACAGTCCATTAGCCCTCCTCTGCAGTGGCCCTGCACACAGACGTGCTGCAGATGGGGTCAGTGGGACACCCTGAGCAAGACAGTTTAGGGACTTACTCATAGACACAGTGGGCAGCTGTGATGATCCAGCGCGGGGTGATGACGGACCCTCCGCAGAGGTGCTGCCCATGGAACTGCAGGCTGACCTGCCAGGGCCACTGCTGGGGGGAGGATGCGTTGCCCCCCACGATCCGTGGCCTGTAGCTGGCCCGTGTCCCACATGCTGCCAGAAAGCAAAGGTTTGGGGTCCATGGAGGAAACACTGGCATGGTTTTTGTCATCTTCAGCCTTTCTGCTCTCAGCTTCGCTGAGGCTGGGAGGTCTCTGCAGCAGGACCATCCCCTTCCCCATGGCCTACATCTTTGACCTGTGGCTGCTCAAGAGGTTTGTCCTCCTCCCTCCAATCCCTGCATCATCGTTCTTGGCAGCCCATATGGGGGCTGTGAAGCTCACTTCTCCCCGGTAGATGCAGTGCTCAGATGAGCTGTAACCCTACTGTTCTGCCCTCCTTAAATGCACAGAATCCAATGGTCCCAGGGCCCCAGACAGGCAAATTGGAGCATGTCCTCTCCCCTGATGATTATTTTGCTGCTGGTTTTTTTTGACTTTTCATATCCCAATCCAAAACCTAGCTGACATGGAGAGACGTGGGATGAAAGTTCAAATATTAAAACAAAATTTCCCTTTTCCTGATGAGATGGCAAAGAATTGGAACTACAGCATTAGTCCATGCACTCAAATCACAATCTTAAACATCTACTGTCTACTGTGATTCTCACCAAAACACTCAGCTCCTAACCTGATGCTCCTAATGTGCCCTCTCAGCCTATTCTCATTTTCTGAAATTCGTTTAAATTTTATGAAAGAAATACATTTTTTCTTTGGTGTGATAAACTGATGGTATCATATGCCCTGCGTACACAGCTCCTCCCAACTCTTGCCATGCAGTAGATGAAGGACAATTTCAGATTCTGTTTCCTGATTCTTACCCAAACATTTTAAGATGATCACATTGCCAGAAGTGCATTCCTCTCTAAGATGAAAAGACAGTGCAGTATTAGTTCCAATTCACAAATACTGGGTGTGTTTTCAGTATCGTTGACATCTTCCTGTACAGCTATGTGCACATAAATATAAGTAACTCATATTGAAAGAGGTACAAAGTCGTGTACTCATCCAATCAACTTAGGGCATTTAGCTGAAATGCTTAGGAGCTTAGACACCACTGGGAGCCTGCAGACCATATGCTGCCCCACTGAAGAGAGTCTCACTCTTCTGCAAGGGGAGGCTCATCAGGAATTTTCAACCTGTGATCTGTAGACCCCTCAGGTCCATAGCTTGCTTCTCAGTTAAAGGTAACTAAGAAAAACAAGCAATTGTCAGGAGGAAGAAATGGGCCATAACGGGTTCATGAGCCCACTGGGAAACATCTAGGGATCTGTAAACTGAAACAAACTGCTTTCACAATGGAGAAAATGTGTGTCTGGTGTCTATCTGTTTGCAAAAAGAGAATCACGGGACAAGCAGGCTTTTCAAATAGCTCAGTTTAAAGCCTTTGCTGATTCTGATGGGCCTTGGATCAGGCTCCAAATTTGTATTCCAGTAAGACTGCCACTAAACCTTGGTCTATGATGAACAACACTACCAACCATTTACCACTTGCCTGAAAAAACTGGCAACAATCTCAAACTGTTGATAATTCTGCTTCTATCGACCACTGTCTTTCTGTCAGGATGAACAAACCGAGGCATACCTGAGGCTTGTTGCATTGTGCAGGGATGTAGCTTGATCAGCTGATAACCACTCACTGAGGGATACGAAATGTCTTTGAAACTGTTTTTCAACAGCAGCCACGGGCAGGTAACCTGAACTCACGTAACTGCAAATAAACCATAAGCACAGCTTCCTCAGGCAGCATTTCAGTAATCTGCTTAAATAATTCAGTGGTTCTGCTAATGAAAACCCAGTGTCGCAACCACAATAATCAGACTCAGACACTTGATAAAGTAACTGCATCCTCCCCAAGAAACGTTTTTTATAACATGCACGTATTTTTGCCACAACCGTGTGTGGAAGTCACAACATGCTGAGAGGCATTTAACTGGCTGAGAAAGTAAATTTTGATTCTAATATTGCAACAAAGTCTTCATTGTAACTGGTTAGCACTGGCAAGCTCATTGATTCCTTTTTCTAGAGTTAAGTTTTGCAGCAGGAAGGATAAATAATTTATAATTTTTCTTGTCCTTTTTTTGTTGAACAATTGAGATGTATTTTATCCTAAGGGCAGCAAGAATTTATTCAAAGAAGCTTTACGCTTCTGTCTACAGTGTGCAGAAAACAGAATGACATCATTAGAAGGAATAACAGCATCATTGCAAGTCACAACTTCAAACTCTTTCTCAATTGTGTGAAAGTTAGTGAAAGACATAGTGCTTTTTCAGGAAAGGGATCAATCCGGTAAGAACCACCTCACCATGTTCTCCTCCAATTCTGAGGTGGACCTTAATTCCTAACAGATGTCACAGCATAAATTGTATATACCATTTTCCTATCATAGTCCCTATTTCCTACTTTTCTATTTCCTACTTATTCCTAATTCCTATTTTCTACTTTGCAGAGGAAGTAAAAGAAATGGAAAATGCTCATATGGTTTTTAGTGCCTCCCTGACAGGTTATAAGCTACTAGAGAGACAAATAGGTTTCAGGCACTTGCATCCCATACGGAAGATTTAAGCAAACCATTATATTTAGTCATCATCCTAGATTTATAGTAGTAATAAATGGTATTTGCAGTGCACAAGTATTCACAGCATTCTAAATCTCCTCAACCATATCATTTAAAGGTGGATTGGTAAGTCCTTTTTCTTTTAAAGCACAGACTAATACAGGGTTTGATTAGAAAGATTGAAAACCCCAGAGTTTGCTCAAAATGCCAAATAAAGTTTCTTCCATTTTGTGTTCCTACCTTGAGAAACCCAGGTGTTTGCAGGTAGTATTTCCATACTCTGCTTTCCAGTCATCAGAGCAGACTGTTCGCCAGGATCCAGAAGTGAACACTTGCAGCACTGCTTTCTTGCCACTCAACCTGACTTTGAGATTGTGGAAAAGAAAAGCCTGAGTGAGCTGTGAAGAACTGCTGGGTACAAAACAGTATCAATATACTAATGTGGCATCCACATTTCTTGGCTCACTGAATTTTTACTGCTTGTCTTTTTCATCACTTGGATCCTTTAACAGATTGTTTTTTCCTCTTTAAGGAAGGAATCAAGATACGCTGAGCTGCAACAGCCAGGAATAAAAAGTCTATGCTCATGGCAATGGATGGGTGATGCTAGTTCTAATACAGATACAGAAGACTGCCTTGCCCTCTAGTGAGCCTAAGCAAGTCTTGCTGATTGCAGTGAGTTGGAGCTACAGATGCCTTGGCATCAAGGAAACCTAAGAGCAAGATAAGTGATGACAGGTGGTTGGTACATCCTGTGCTGCACAGTACTGTCAGAGAGGTGGATGCACTTGCTCCCAGCCACTCCTGGAATCCTGTGGAGTTTCCTATCTGCTTCCCTCTCCTGAAATGGGGCTGGTGTGTCTGGGCTGATAAGCATATAAAGGCTGGGGAGAGGAGAGATGCACAGGTTTGGAGCTCATGACAGAGAGAAACTCAGACGTGGGGGCATACGTTTTGCATATGAAGCAGCAAACTCTGCAGTATTCAATGCATAAAAGGCAGTGCTGATCTCTCCTGTTCCCATGTTCCTTAAGATAATTACTGGCTTTTGCAATCTTCAAAACTGACAAGTGCAGCTGTGTGCCAGTGAGTACAGTACTGTATATACACACCACAGTGCAGTGATGCGGGTAGAGGAAATGCTAACAGTCAAGAAGCATCTAGATTTCTAATGGAGAAAGATGCCCAAAATGGCAGCAGCAGTATTCAGCAATCATCACATTTATCTTAAGAGCAGTTTGATTTCTTAAAAAGTGTAAATCAATACCTCAGAGAGATTGTTCCTCTGAAGTGGTGATTTAGATAGTCCATCAGTCTCTATCTTTCTTGTCTCACCCAAACTCTTTACAACATGAATTTCTTGATAATGTGCCAGATGCTACAGGAGGAGGTAGGAGGGATTTATAACCAAATTTAAGTTACCACATCTGTACTCATCCTCCCCTTCTTTACAGTTGAAGACACCATTGCACCTGGCTGATTTCTGGATACACTTAAAGGACGATCTGCAGCGAAACTTCCCAATGCAGTTGTATTGTACTAACAAGAATGAAAGAAAACAGGGTGATGAAAATACACTTGGATATTAATTTAACACTTCTGAATTCCATTATCTGGACAGATTTCTGTCTTGCTAATGAAAAGATAACTCCCGTACTCTAGGAACTTTTGAAATACAACCTTCAGGTGGCTACATGGTGCTGTTAAATTCATCCATTAATGATGACTTGTAGGATGAGTCAGCTTTGCTCTCTGTGCTGACTGTTTCCCAGATCTCTCTACCCAGTTTATGTTTCACTCCAGGGCAAGTTTCTGAGGCCTCAGCCTCTCAGCAGCAAAGCAAGGAGACACTTATGAAATACAGCCAGTGTACTTCCTTCCTGAGGAGCTGTCTCAGCCTCCCACAAGCTTATGGTGTGAAGGTACTGCTCTAGCATCAATGTATTTAGCACCTGGATGTGAGCAGGTCACACTTTCCAGTCACAACTAAACTCATTCAGGATTTTCTTTTGCTTTGTCAAAGTTGCTTGTGAAATGGTAAAGTTTTTTAATTCCTTGAAAGGAAACTTAGAGGTGTGAATTACAGGATAAGAATATGGTGTGTGCTACCTGAAGCCTCCCCCATAGCTTACTACCCAAAGGGAATCAGTGAAGTTTTACTAGAGAAAAGTTTCCTTGAGCTGTGGGTTCCCCTGTGCTGTAAATACTACTCCAATCCTCTCATGAGTGCCAGATCTATTTTATTCCTACATGTAAATAAAATTTAAAGCTGTCACACCATCAAGATTTTTACTTCAGCAAACAAGCCACAGTAGCAGTTTAATTCCATTGTAAGTAAAAGGCTCATGAAAAATTAAGCATTTGAAAGGTTAAGTGAGAACTTAATGAATAACTAATTATACTCACCACCCAGGCCAATGGCAACTGCTAGGATTACTGCGAGGAATAAACCACAGATATATGGAAAGTACTTTAGGGACATGAAAACATGGCACATTGAAGGTGGTTCGATATCTCCTAGAAACCAAACAGAGAGAACATCATCTGTGAAGTTAAACCAGATTGAGTTTACAATGAAAAGATTGAGTTTGCAATGAAAAAATATATCTAACATTAAACTAGATGGCAGTAGTAACTCCTTCATATACTTCATGAGTTGACCTGACCCAGGGTGGTATGGAACGCCCAGCTCAGGGGCTGAGAAGGCTCCAAGTGTTTTGGGGCTGACTGGTGTTCTCAGACACCTCTTCAGCATTTGCCTTAAGAGGGGTTTGAATCATGCTCTTACAGAGCACCTGGCCTGTTCTAAATGCAGTCAAGGGTATGAGCTCTAAATTAATTTTCATGGGTTACATCACACTGAAAAATGAAATTCAGACCTGTTTTGTCTGTGAGAACAAGTCTGTGTGGAAGGTATAGGTATACTCTCTGAAGACTTCAGAAAGCTCAAGTGGACTCATAAATTATTTCAGTGGAAGTAGCAAGCACTAGTTTGAGACTCCTCCTTATGACTGTTCCTGCTTGTGATGCCTCCTGACTCTTGCTGGTACCAAGCCTGTGGTCTCAGTGCTCCCTCCAGCTGTAGCCCCAGCTGGATGCTTCTCTGAGCACTGAGACAACTGAGTGTTCAGGACAAAGAAAATCCTGGGATAAGGATGGAGACTGCATAGTTCTACCTTGTGCACTGGGGAGCAAAGTCTAATGCTCAATACCTTCCTCCAGAGTTGGGGTAGCAGAGTCAGAAAAACTAGGAAGAGGAGCCTAAAGATTTGAACAGGAGCAAGGATATTAGAAAAATAAAGGACTAAATAGGTTTTCAAGAGAAGAAGGAGGAAATTCATTAGTCCTTTTGGACTTGGAAGCAAGGTTAACTGTTAGAAATCTAAATTTGCAAAAAATGAGACCCCAAAACTAGACTTGAAAAATGTGGGAAAACATGATCTGTTTGAAGTTTTGCTATAAGGACAGGGAGACAACTGACCAATGGCTCAAGGCTGAGTTTTGGGGTTTCAAGGGAAAAAACATACATCTAAAGTTAAAATATACATAGTTAATAATTGCTGAATATGTTTGATGATCTTGACCAGTCATGCTCTCCAACCACCCTATAGCTGACATCAGCTTAGTGGTATTGTCAACCTGGAAGACAACAGATTCTACTCAAATTAATGAACAGTTCACTTGTTTCAAATGTATTCTGATATACAAAGGGCAAACTATAGGATAATAGCATACACGGCTTGTCATAGGCACAAACAGGAGCTGACAGAACCTTGTCTTCAATTTTAATTCACGCAGCTCATCACCCCCTCATTCTTAAAGCTTTCCTTCTGAGATTGGCAGACACTTAAAATTAGTCAAGGATGAGATATTTCTCCCACTGCGTATAAACTCACAAGTAAATCCCAACCTACACAAACTCTCTCAGCTGCAGCTGAGTAAGTGGTTTTGCCAATGGAGTTGGTGTCTGGTATGCTGGCATCTTAGTCAGCTGTTCATTAGGTAGCTAGTGAACTAGAAAATTGAATTGCTCTATCTTCATCCTTTATGCTCACCCCGCCTCTGTTAAGGTTAACGGTTATTTTTGCCATGAAACCTATGGGAAGTAGCAAACATGCATGCTGTTCCTCCAAGGCTGCTGTACTGTATATTCAGATTTTTTAATGGACCAATTTCGAGGTTGGTAAAATTTCACATAAGCTATTCCAAAATGTGTCTGAAAAGTGTGGGCAAATATTTGCTATGTGGTTGAAGTGCGCGAATACCCTGGCTGTGAAAAATGCTTGTGTATGCCAACTGACACAAGATGTCATCACCTGTTAATATCCTGGCAAACCTCATAGATAGAGAGTGATGTGTTTCTTCTTCCTCTGAGTGATTGCTTTCTCTGGCTTAGTGGGCAGCGTAGTTCTGCAAGGCTAAAACCTTCATTAGGTATTAGATTACAAAGGTCAAAAAGTTGTGCAGTATCCCTACCACATGTATCTGCAGTGGAGTCCACTTTTGCTTGTGGTATGCAGAAAAATCTTTTGAAGGAAAACTGTATTTCCGGGACTGGTGGTTCATCTTCCATAGTAGAGATGATTTCAAGACTTCCAGTAGTGGGATTTGTCTCTTGTACCTGACTCAACAGGGGTTAAAAAAAAAAACAAGAAAAAGGATAGTCACATAGAATCATAGAACGGTTTGAGTTGGAAGGGACCTTCACAGGTCATCTAGTCCAACCCCCCTGCAATGAGCAGGGACATCTTCAACTAGATCAGGTGGCCCAGAACCACATCCAGCCTGGCCTTGAATGTCTCCAGGGATGGGGCATCTACCACGTCCCTGGGCAACCTGTGCTGGTATTTAACCACCTTCATTGTAAAAGATTTCTTCCTTATGTCTAGTAATGTACCCTCTTTCAACTTAAAGCCATTATCCCTTGTCCTGTTGCGACAGTCCCTACTAAAAAGTTTGTCTTAACCTTTCTTATAAGCCCCTATAGGTACTGCTATAAGATCTCCCTGGAACCTTCTCCAGGCTGAACAACCCAAACTCTCTCAGCCTGTCTTCATAGGAGAGGTGCTCCAGCCCTATAATCATTTCTGTGGTTCTCTTTTGGACCAAATTCAACAGGTTCATGTCTTTCCTGTGCTGAGGACTCCAGAGCTGGACAGAGTCAAGTAAGCTGTGTACTTAATGTTCATGAGAGGAGCTCTTACAATTAATTGAACAGCAAACTACTGAAGATAATTTTTGTTAAAATTTGTCCACGTAGCTACTTCTAATAGCTGGGAGTGCAAATCCATCCCCTGCTATCAATAAGAAACAACAGAGACTAAAAAGCATGTAACAGCTACAATCACCTGACAGGATCTTAATGCAGGGGCCCACTTAATTTTACTCCAGAAAATCTTTGATAACTTTCCACACAGTGAAAAACAATTAAACCCAGAATTCAGAGTAAATAGATTTGCAATGCTAATTTCTGACTCTGGTTATGCACACTGTCACTTGCAAAAGAAATCAGATTTTTGAACTCACAGCGCTGTAAAATAGGTCCAAGTTTGTTAAGGACAGCGGAACTGGTAATCTGTAAAAGCAGCTTGTTCACAGAGTCAGTTCCAGAAAATGCTCACAGTGCCACATTTCAGGCAAAGAATACATATTTTATCTGCAGCACTTTAAGTCACCTGGAATATTTTTTCACCTTTCAGCAAACAAGTACAATAAGTTTTTTACTCTTTCATTTGCTAAATTTCATGTACATTTCAATGAATGTAAATTAAACTTTATATGGAGTCTTCTGGCTTTAAGGCAGAGAAAAGGACAGCTTGCTGTGTATGATTTGAAATATATGTATATATTTAAAAAAAGCCTTGTAACTGGTGCATAGGTTGTCCGTCAGAAAGCAAAACAGCACTGTGAAGTATACTGCCTGAAAGCTAGACACGGATGTGTCATTTATTTAGATGATACCATATACTCCCAAAGCTTCACTCACCTCTTCCTGAGAAGCCATAGTTAAAAGCAAAACTGTTTTCTTTCTTCATTATCAAAAGAAACCACAAGGAAATTCTGAGGTTGCTAAGCCAGTGTGCTCTGAAAATGTTTTCAGTGAGTGGCTGTGGCTGCGGCTGCCTGTTCAGTCATCTGTTGCATATGGCATTATGGCAGCAGCCTGTGTAATTCAACCTGGTGACGGGTATCAGGTAGCCCTGGATGACATGGCTATGGAAAGAAGATAAAAATTCAGCATGCTTTTTAATTAGCCTAAGAAGGACAGTTAATATTGTAGTGTTTGAAAACCCTTCTGTAACCCCTCAGCAAAGAAGCATCACCACAGTTGATGAGCACATGCTCATCTTTTATCAAGACTTGTGCAGCTGAGGAGTCTGACGATAGCTGTGGGTGGCAGAAGGCAGAAGCTCCAGGTGCTTTATCTTTTCAGCACACAGAGCTAGAGCAATTGTATTGTACGTTACTTGTGTTTATTGTTTGAGGGTTTTTTCCCTTTCCCCTTGTAGTTTTATATTCTCTCCCCTTATTATTTCCCTTATCATCATTAGTAGTAGTAGTAGTAGTATACTGTACTTGAGTTATTAAGCTGTTCTTATCTCAATCTTTTACATTCTTTAGATTCTCCTCCCCATTCCACCTGGGGAGGGTTAGCAAACGGCTGTGTGGTACTTAGTTACCAGCTGGATTTAAACCACGACAGTCCTGAATAACTTATAATACATATAATGAAATACTGCAAAATATTTTGGAAGCACCTTGCAAGCAATATCTCATGCTTCTGAAGTATCAACTCATTTGTACTCTGGGATTTAGACAATAAAAATGTATGCTCAGCTTCAGAAAGTGCTCAAAATAAATAAAAATTTAGCTGTTTGTTGATTTCAGTTTGTTTTTCTAAGAAGACAAATTGATGACAGAGGGGAGGGTGGAAGGAAGAAGGAGGATGAGAGATGAAGCAAAAGCCATGATAATTTAAGTGAAATGAGGCTCCTGTGAGAACAGGCTAGAAATTAAGGTTTTCCATGCCAAAACACAGTTGCAATGAGAGAAGCTCTTCAGTCCCTTTGCTGTGCACAATCGAAACTGGCACTTCCAAAAGAAAGGCTGCCAGATCATGATCCTGTTAACTGTTCACATTCAGGCCATGAATCATCAAAGAGTACATCATCTCTTATGCCACGCTTTCAGCAGCCTTCCCTGGAAATGGGAAACACAGGGGGACATAAGGAAAAGTATAAAAATGAAAGCAGACCAGCAGTTCAGGTGAGCCTTTCAGTCTACGGGGTGAGGTGTCCTGTCCTTCCCAGGGAGCTGTGGTACCTGCAATGAGGACAGCCCAAGCCAGAGAAAATTGTCTCCAACCATTTCACCTGCTCTGACCACTCTGGAGACACTGGGGACCAGACAGTGCAGGTGTGCAAAGGCTCCCGTGGTGGACCTGGTACCAATGGAAAGGACAGGTCACCCTGCTGTCACCATGAGCTGCCCAAGCCTAGTCTCAAGGCGTGATGTCTTGATGGGACATTGGCTTTGACCTTGAACAGTTGGCTGGCTCATCACCTATGCCTGAAAAGACCAAAGCAGGAGCTATGTAGAATAAGAAGGGAGGACATGAAAATTGAGCCCCAAAGGATAGAATGTGCCCTACAGACTAACTTCTTATATGTTTCAGGACATCCCTGCTCACCTCCCCGTGCTGCAGTAGCAGGTAGATTTCCCGGTTTTCAGAAAACTATTTAAAATGCTAGATAGAAGATTCTACCTCAGAGCTGTCAGTCCACCCTATGGTGTTTGCCTTTGGACTACTAGTCTTGTTCTGCTGGGGTGGATGGGAAACTCCTGAATATAGCTTTTGATTTTTTAGCCACCCTGAAACAAAACTTCAGAGACGCAGATACTCCGAAAACAGGATGTCAGCTTTTGTCAGAGAAGATCACAGGACGTTTGAGGGGTTTTGTGTTTTAGTTGCCTCTTTCTCTCTCATTTTCTTATTCCCTCCCATCCTCCTCCCATCTCACAGTTTCTCATCACACAGTCAGGAGAAGTGTGGAGGAGATGGCGGTGGCTGAGACACAGCTGTACGCAAAGGTGTCCAACAAGCACAGGAGCAGAAGCGCCTCTGTACTCCTTGAGTCTCTCCTTGCCAAAGGATTCCCAGCTCATATCGCGTGAGTAATCTGTTTGGCTGCTTTGCACAGTTAAAGGTATTTAAAATAAGATCTCATAAGATCCTGACGGCGGGCAGCTTGCTTTCTTTCATCGTGCTGCTTCCTGGGGGTGGTGTCCCTATACAGAGATCAGACCTGTCTTGCTTTCAGTTTCTTGTAAAACAGTGCATATTGCTTATATTGCTAAAAATATCCACCCTGCTTTGTATCCATTTTTATAAATATCATGTATATGTGAGAATTCATGTCCTTTCACATCTTCAGGTTGAGAGAATCCACAATGAGTTAAAAAGTTGAAGTCTGTAATTTGCTCTTGAGATATATTGTGTTTCGTTTTTTTTCTGCTACTCACTGTTATTATAAGGGAATTAAATGAGGATTTAACTTCTACTCAAAGTTTTTTCAGGCCTGGCAGAGACCTCCTGCTGGGTTTTGTCACTGGGAACTGTTTTAAAACAGTAAACTTTCCTTAACAAGATGCCACATAAGTCTGTCAATTTTTTTTCCCATCTTGAATCAGGATCTTGTTCCAAAAGCGTTTTGTACCTGGAAAATGTAATAGTAAAGAATGAGGCACTATTCTTGGTAACCACGGCAGATAAGAGATTAACTGGTGGCAGCTAACCAAGCTAAGAGAAAAGAAATATGGCAGTCACTCCTCCCCCAGACATCATCCTAGTTGCAGAAGGAAGATTTGGGGAGGATATTCCAGCTTCTGAAAGACAAATATGGACACTTTAGTTCAAATTGTTCAAAAACCAGATATTCTTATCTATATGTCAAAGAACCCCTCAAAAAGTATTTTAGAAAGCAAAGCAATATCTCTCCCTTCGGACTGAAAATTAAGCAAGTTGAAAAGGCTCCATTCCTAAATGCTGTGATGCTTTTTTAGGAATAGCTATGTTTAGACAGACACACTTTAGACACAGAGTCTACAGCAGAGTTTACAAGGAAACTGTGGGTCCCTTGTTCCAGGTTAAGTACAGTGGAATTTTAGCTGAGAACATGGCTCATCATTTCTCTAGGAATGCTATAAGTTTGGTGACCCCAAAATAATGGCTAGATTTCAGGTTTTTTTTGTCCTGTATGTAATGTTCTTCAAATCCCCTTCTAAACACTTTCTGCTGTTACTAAGGTGGCTTTGTGTTTCCCAGATCGAAATCAAGAAGCAGTGGCAGAAGTACTATGCAAATCGACATAAAATGACAAGATGTCAAAAAGCACTTTATTTTTAATATAATTATTTTTATTGACTTTAAGACCTTCAAAATGTTGATAGTGTTTTTATAAAACCTCTTAGCTGTCTCTGTAGTTCCAGGATTGACCCGTAAATGGAAGTACTGAAAAGTTGTTCTTTTGATAATTTCTAGCCTGAGGAAAAAGAGGTTGGATGGAAATATTACAAAACCTCTCATATTGTAGAATCAGCAGGCCAAAGTAATGTTTCCCCAAAGAATAAAGCCCAAATATGTGATGGTCAAGCTAAGCATCAGATCGACTGGTGCTTACACAGAACTGAATGTGTGTCAGCAAATTCTGCTTTAGGGAAGAAACAGTTCATTCTCTCAGTAAATACACTAGTTTTAATAGAGATTTTCAAAACCTTATTCCTACTATTTGAAAGAAATGGGTATATTCAGAATTTATTCTATGCATCATCTTTTGGTATTCACTGCTCATCTTGGAAGCATAGAATGTCTAGATACAGCCTAATGCTCTCCTAAGGGCTCACTCCAACAGGTCCATGTCCTTCTTATGCCGGGAACCCAAAGCTGAATGCAGAGCTCCAAGTGGAGTTTCACCAGAGTAAAGAAGAGGGGGAGATTCACCCCCCTCAACCTTAACCCAACACTAAGGAAATCTTTATAGCCAGTAGGGCTGCAGAGGAAACACCTCCAGAATACACAGGATGATATCCTGTGAGGAAGACAGGCTACCAGTCTTCAAAGAATTAAAGACTTGCTGTGGAAAATACTGTTTGGAGGGCTTCAAGAACATTAGTATTTGCCAGGCATTACCTACTTGTTAGAGGTCTTAACTGTGCTGGAAAATAGGCTTGGTGACCACAGCACGTCCATGCTTTAATTTCTAGGATTTTTCTTGCTGTCATTCTGAGGAATCCATTTTGGTTTTTATTCTAGGCAGAAAGCCTTGGCTGCTACTGGACAAAAGACAGTAGAAGAGGCTGCAAAATGGTAAGTACCTGTGATTTCTACTAAGTGCTTTTGCATTAAACCTGGCTAAAACCCTTCTTCATGTGCTGATTCTGTCACTGAATATGAAGTTATCTGCCATAAAAAACCCCTGTCTTTTGTCGTAGGCTTTCTTCCCTGCCTCGATTTGGTTGCTTTTTTCTTCTTTTTGTATGTGAAAAGCCAGAGGACACGTTTGAGTATGGCGTGTTCTTCCCCAATATTCTTTTGTTTGGGATGCTACCATGCTTTTCAAGAACCACTCCCAATCCAGCAGCTGCAAAGCCAACCATACATCATATGAAAAGCAAGGTGAAGGGTATAATTACATGGGATATAAGTTTCTGATCTTTGCTTGCGCATTTTCTGATTTGTCTTTTTTGCCTTTATCAGGGCTGAATAAAAGGACTTGGTTTTCTTGAGTATTTTAAAAACCTTCAGTTAGCTTTTATTTTCTCATTCTTATATATTTTCTACACGTTGCTTTTTTTCCTCCTCCAGTCCTCTGTTTCCAGTCATGGAAAAGATGGAAAATAACTCAAAAACCCTAAAAAAAGTCTTTATTTTTTTTTTTGTCTTCCATTTTCAGGCATTGAAAGAAGTGAAAGCACATCATAAAATGTAAAGTACACAAAAATTAGCAGAAAAAAAAAATCTCTATTACCTCGTACTTCAGAGAGAAAATTTGTAATGAGTTTTTATTTTAGCTTGTCATTTGTAAGAAAACAACAACTTTGTATTTCCTTTTTCTGGTCTGTGCTATGGATGCCTTCAACCACAGGAAACAAGAGTAAGCAGTGCACACACTTATCCTCTGTGACATGCTCTTGATTTCAGGTTGCACTCTCACTGCAATGATCCCTCTTTGGAAGACCCAATCCCCCAGGAGTATGCTCTTTACCTGTGTCCCACTGGCTGCTTGCATAACTACCTGCTGGAGTTTTGGAAGGAGAGCAAACGCCAGTGTGGGAAAAACAGAGCCCATGAATTTTTTCCACACATCACTCTCTGCGATTTCTTCACGGTAAGGCACAAAATGCGTGCAAGTGTCACATACAAGCTACTGGTGGAACTGGACCACCTACCATTGTCTTACACCAGAACTTCTCCTTGGAGATCAAACTGACATGACTCAGTTCTGAGTGTGCCTGCTTAATATTTGAATGTTCAGTCCCTGCATAGGCATCAGGGGCTTTCTTCCCACCACCAGCTTTAGTTACCCACCTTAGGCCCTGGTGTACTTAAACACTGAATGATAATTCCAGTGGGATGCTTCAGGGTAGCTGAATGATGCATGTCTAGCACCCACTTAGAGCAACCTTTTGCAGTCCAGTTTACACATTGTCCTGCCAGCAGGAAGCACTGCTCCCCACATGCAGCTATGAGCCTGCTTCGTGGACCATGCCCATTGCTACATCAACCTAGGATGTTAAACCTTCCTGGCCGGGGCAGGAGTGGCTGCCTTCAGCCAGATGTGCAATAGTGACAGCGTTATCAGAGGATGTAGACAACTATAGTATTATGCCTATGAGAATCTCAGGGAAACTCCAGCTTTCCCCAGAGAGCCCCAACCAGAAGGTCACTGCTATGGTGGTGTGTCCCAGACTTTATTCTTTCTATTGAAGCTTGGATGTTTTGAAAAAGAGAGAAGCAGAATGCACAGGGGTGGAAGGAGCAAGGGAAGCCATACTGGAGTCCAACAGTGCAACAGAGTCACTTTGTCAGTAATTTAACATGGAAGTTTGGCTCCTGAGTTGGACTCCTGGCAGGCTGTTTTCTGGTTCTAGAAATGCTACTGTTCTCCTAAGTGCCCTTCTGATTGCTGGTGACCCCCTACAGAACTTCCCGACAAAGCTGCTTCTCCTGCATAGGTGAATGTGCTTATTATCAAAGGCCAGCAAGGAGTCACTGCCCTGGAAAAGCTCTGGAGCCACCTGGAATCCAGGTTTCACATATTGATGGTGTGGCACATGAACATCAGTTTCAGTCGAGATGCACTGAAACAGACAGCAGTGTCTCCACACCTGCACTTGCTTGACCCAGTACAATGATTAAATGGAGCAAATAGTTCTGTGGAGGAGAATAAAGCAGCCCAGAAATGGAGCATAGTTAACATTCCTGTCTTGGGCTGCATGGTACAAATTCCATATTTGTCTCTGCGCTTCATAAATTACTTAATTGCCACATTTTTTGTGGAAGCACGGTTCTGTACAATCTAATTTGCTGTGATTAGAGCATTAAGGATCATAAAGACAAAGATGCCTTATGAATTTTGCTAGGTAAGTGGCTCAGCATCTGAGATCTTGAAGCTTTAGCAGGAACAATGTCAGCTAAAGAACTGTAGGACAGCAATAACACAAATTCTTACTTAGAACTGAGAAGGAAAATCATGATCCCAGCCTATTTTTAGACAGGTTACTGAACACCTGTCAGATGGTAATATCTTTTGGCTCTGTCCTACCCTGGCTAGACACATTTCCTGGTAGAGGGCTCTATCTCCTATTATAACACCAGGATACTGTGTGCTGATCGAATTGTTCAGAATCACTGATTTCAATACCAGGAATTTCAGGCAAGTTTGTAGTTGTGTGTCTCAGGAAGTCTAATGCGTGCACTGTTTTCTGGTACTACTGTAAAACACAGGCTACAATATGGCTGTTGAGCCCATGGATAAAGCCTGCTCTTCCTATTTCCTTTCAGTGTGAAGACCAGAAAGTGGAATTATTGTATGACACCTTAAAGAGAGTCGGTGAAAGCTTTTCACTACGGTTTCCATCAGCCATTTCCTTATTACTACATTCATCTACCAGTTACCTTGGCTTCTTCATTGATGACAAACATGCAAATATCCTCAAAGAGTTTGCTCAGGCATTCTCCTCAGAAGCTTCAGCTGTGGCAGGTAGGACAAACATCAGTGGGAAAATGAGTGGGTCATAGCACAAATGCTTAGGCATGGTACTGAAAACATCTCCCATGTCTCTCTGGAAGCTCAGCTGCTGTTTTACTGCCAGGAAGCATCCTTTCCTCATACAGATTGAAAACAACATGGCTTGGGGAACATGGTTTAGACTTCAAAGACACAGTGTTTTTGTCTAGAAGCTGAAATGGTTGGCTGTGTAACATGATAAGCCTTCCAACAGGATATCCAAAATGGGCAGGGATATAACACTCCCTATTCCCAGACTGGTGGCCCGACTGTATCCTGAGAAATAGATTCTAATCCCCACTCTAGTGACATTCAAAGGACCCTGTATCACCAGTGGAGACTGAGGAGACACAGCCCCAGCATAGCTTCGTCTGGGAGAAACAAGTTCAACACATTTCAGACTTGGAGAGGAATTCAAGCCCTGTTCATCTTTTTTTCCTGGTTGAAGCCAGGGAGCAAATCCAGTCCTGATTTGTGAATTATATTGGCATGATCGAAACCATGATGTTCTGCAAAACCATTATTCATCAAAACTATGATCTACTCTACTACTATTTACTATGATATTTCCTGCATCATGCAAAGCATGCAGGCCAAAACAAGAAGAGCTTTAAATGACCTTTGCTTCTATGTTGTGATGTGATTGTTTCATTTCTAGATTGCCATGTGAAGCCCTGCCTCAAGCAGCTCCATCTCACCTTGTCTCACAAGTTTTATCCTCACCATCAGAAGACTTTGGAAGAACTGGCCAAATGCATTAACCCAGAGGAGACCTGCCAGTGGGTAGCTGCACTCTACTCACGGGATATGCGTTTTGTGCATTACCAGGTACCATCATCAGACTTACTTGATTTCCTGAGCCTGTGGTCAGACTCTTTGCTACAGTCACCTTGACTTTTCTTCATGAAGAAAATCTGTGCATGCACAGTTCAGTGTTAAAAAAAATGGTTGTTTCAAGTACCTCTTAGGGTTGAAAACTGTACTCATGAATCAATAGAATATACCATTATAGCGGGCTGCTTGACCTGAACGTCAGCAAGGTCTACTTCCAAACTCCAGCAGAAAAAATAATCTTACCATCACACAAGAAATTAAAAGAGACAGGAAATGATGATCCTTGAGTATTTGCTAGGATTTGTAAGGTCACAGCTTTGCAGTTAAAGTCCATTCAGCAAAATCAGTTTTCTTGGTTGTTCCAGCCATGACAAAAACTCAGATTAAGTATCAGTGAACAGGGCACAGCTCTTGCTGTTGATTTTCCGCTTAACTGACTCTTGGTGATTTTTTGCTTAATAGACTCTTAGTTAAAACTAGTCAACATTTTTCCAGTTCTGATTTCCAAAATTAAGTTAGAATCATAGAATCATAGAATAGTTACGGTTGGAAAGGGCCTTAAGATCATCAAGTTCCAACCCCCCTGCCATGGGTAGGGGCACCTCGCACTAAACCATATCACCCAAGGCCTCGTCCAACCTGGTCTTGAACACTCCCAGGGATGGAGCATTCACAACCTCCCTGGGCAACCCATTCCAGTGCCTCACCACCCTAACAGGAAAGAATTTCTTCCTTGTATCCAATCTAAACTTCCCCTGTTTAAGTTTTAACCCGTTACCCCTTGTCCTATCACTACAGTCCCTAATGAGTCCCTCCCTATAGGCCCCCTTCAGATACTGGAAAGCTGCTAGGAGGTCTCCACACAGCCTTCTCTTCTCCAGGCTGAACAGCCCAAGCTTTCTCTTGGGCTCATCTTCATACAGGAGGTGCTCCAGTCCCCTGATCATCCTCGTTGCCCTCCTCTGGACTTGTTCCAACAGTTCCATGTCCTTTTTATATTGAGGACACCAGAACTGCACGCAATACTCCAAGTGAGGTCCCACAAGAGCAGAGTAAAGGGGCAGGATCACCTCCTTCGACCTGCTGGTCACGCTCCTTTTGAGGCAGCCCAGGATACAATAGGCTTTCTGGGCTGCAAGCGCACACTGAAGCCAGCTCATGTTCATTTTCTCATTGACCAGCACCCCTAATTCCTTCTCCACAGGGCTGCTCTGAATCTCTTCTCTGCCCAACCTTTAGCTGTGCCTGGGATTGCTCCAACCCAGGTGTAGGACCTTGCACTTGGTATGGTTAAACTTCATGAAGTTGGCATTGTCCCACCTTTAGAGTGTGTCAAGGTCCCTCTGGATGGCATTCCTTCCCTCCAGCGTATCAACCAAACCACACCGCTTGGTGTCATAGGCAAACTTGCTGAGGGTGCACTCAATCCCACTGTCCATGTCAGCGACAAAGATGTTGAACAAGACCGGTCCCAACACCGATCCCTGAGCGACACCACTTGTTGCTGGTCTCCAGCTGGACATTGAGCCATTGACCACAACTCTTGGTGTGCGGCCATCCAGCCAGTTCTTTATCCACTGAGTGGTCCATCCATCAAATTGATGTCTCTCCAATTTAGAGACAAGGATGTTGTGTGGGACAGTGTCAAACGCTTTACACAAATCCAGGTAGATGACATCAACTGCTCTTCCGCTGTCCATCAGTTCTGTAGCCCCATCATAGAAGGCCACCAAATTGGTCAGGCAGGATTTCCCCTTGGTGAAGCCATGCTGGCTGTCACTGAGCACCTTGTTGGTTTTCATGTGCCTTAGCATGCCTTCCAGGAGAATCTGCTCCAAGATTTTACCAGGCACAGAGGTGAGACTGACTGGTCTGTAATTCTCCGGATCATCCATTTTCCCCTTCTTGAAAATGGGGGTTGTATTTCCCTTTTTCCAGTCATTGGGAACTTCACCTGATTGCCATGATTTTTCAAATATGGTGTCCAGCGGCTTAGCAACTTCATTTGCCAGCTCCTTCAGGACCCGTGGATGGATTTCATCAGGACCCATGGACTTGTGCACGTTCAGATTTTTAAGATGGTCTCAAACCAATTCCTCTCCTACAGTGGGCCCAAGGTCTTCATTCTCACAGTCCCTGCATCTGCCTTCCAAGACTTGGGTGGTGCGGTCAGAGCCTTTGCCAGTGAAGACAGAGGCAAAGAAGTCATTCAGAACCTCAGCCTTCTCCAAATCCTGTGTAGCTAGTTCTCCCGAGAGCTTCATGAGGGGGCCTACGTTGTCCCTAGTCTGTTTTTATTTGCTATGTACCTGTAGAATCCCTTCCTGTTATCCTTAATATCTCTAGCCAAGTTTAATTCTAACTGGGCTTTAGCTTTCCTAAGCTGGTCCCTGGCTTCCCAGACAACATCCCTGTACTCTTCCCAGGCTGCCTGTCCTTGCTTCCACTTTTTATAAGCCTCTTTTTTCATTTGAATTTTCCTCAGCAGCTCCTTATCCATCCAATTAGGTCTCCTGGCCCTCCTGCTGCACTTCCTTCTAGTTGGGATGCAACACTCCTGAGTTATGGAATGATGAACATTTTTTAGTCAGTATACTGCAAGTCTCACATTGGATTTTGGTCACACTCAGGAGAGCTGCAAGTAATGACAAAAATAGCTGATAACAGTTTTGCTATGTTTGCTCTGAAATAGTCTGTACCAGTTACAGGAAAAAAGTGTTTTTAGGAAAACCAAGTGCCTATTTTTACACGTACTGTAAATGTGGTAGTGTCTTCCTTTTTCTTTGCCCAAGTGCCATTAAAAAGCACATTGTAGAGCAGAAAATAGTATTTGTTGCTATGTCCAGCAGAGATGTGGACAAGCATCCCCTGAACTGCTGTGGCAGGGGCAGCAGCAGGCTCTGGGCAGCAGCCTGACCCTTCCGTGTGTTTCATCCAGACACTGAGGGCCCTCTTCCAGTACAAGCCCCAGAACATCGATGAACTCATGATCAATGCTGGAGACTTCATCTATGTTGACCCGACGCAGCAGTCTGACGTGAGCAAAGGCTGGGTGATTGGGACCTCACATCGGACAGGCTGCAGGGGTTTTCTTCCTGAAAACTACACTGAGAGGGCCAACGAGTCAGACACGTGGGTTAAGCACAGGTAAATTGGGGTTTTGCTTTGCATCAGCTGCTTTTGCTGCTGGGGAGCTGTGGCAGTCTTCCTCCTAACCATGAGCTGTGGGGTTCTAGGAGGGAGCTGAAGGCAGCATTGGCAGAGCAGAATGCGGTCCTGGGAGTCTGGGTGGGGTGCTGAGGCTTCTGAAAGACAAGAGGTTGGACACACACCCACACAACCATGCTGTGTTGGGCAGGCTGAGCTTCCAGCCTGGCTCACTGCTTTCTTTGGTTTTTTTTCATTTCAAGAGCTTGGAAAGTTAACTGGAAATAAAACCACAAAAAGGTTACTCCACCACCTTTACCTACCCTTGTCTTGTTGACTTGCTCTTTATCAGCAGGCATCTACCTAGCTTCCTGTACTTTGCAGCTGACAGCACAGCTGATGCTATTTGTAGATTACAGCTGGTTTTTCTAGGGAGCAAGGTCTAGGTGTACTTTTTGCTGACTCTTCAGAGACAGAGGGGAGGCAACCAGGCAGTATTTCTTGCTTGAAGGTCACACTTTAGCAGAGCTGCATCCAATGCATGCCATCAGTTCATAGAATTTTAACCTCACTTTTACTGGGTTTATTCTAAATCAAGAGCAAAGCGATGAAGTGGGTTGCAAAAAATATTGAATGGAACATGAATCCTGACTTACATGTGCCTGCAGACAAAATAATTACTTAAAAATCCCTTCTATTTGTACGGGTGTCTGTATGTTTGTGTGTGTGCACGTTGCTTCTGTTTCTTCTGCAGGGAATACGTTTTTGTAACAGCTTCAAGACTCTTCACTCAAGCTGAAAATGAACCTAATGTAAAGACGAATAGAGAAGTCCAAAGTCCTAGTACGTCAAGGAGCATAACCAAGGTACTTTCTCTTCAGGTAACTGGGTTTTTTCTGTTTCTTATCTTTGCCATGTGCTTGTGCAGGTATGCTATTCATTAAAAGCATTTAGTAAATTTAATATCTTCCCTGTTCTTCCTCACATTTTCATGTGGTGTTGTAATGCACATATACGTATATCCACACACTCATACACTCTTATGGTATGTTGTAATAGTTCATAAATATTTTGAAATGCATAAGATGGATATTACTTTTGCCTTCTTTCCTAAAGCTGTTTTCATTCGTGTTCTAATAGCACAACGCATGAGTTCTCTGCTCAGGTTTCTCTGTGCACAAGCCTTACTGGGTAAACTGTGCAAAGGTATGGCAACAAGTCTGACAAGTGAGACACAGCCACAGCTTCCCCTGAGTCCCATATACTTTATAGTGGTGTAACTAGAATGGAATTATGCTGATTGTTCATTGTTATTTTTATGGCCAAATTCTATGCATGTCACCTTGGTGGCTTACATGGTCCCAGATCTTAGCAGATTTAAATATTTCACCTTCTTTTGTATTTTTAGATACTCAGCTAATACAAATAACTTCATAGAACTGCAGCAAGAGAACAACTAGCTGGAAAGGTTAGCAGGTTACAGCACTGATGGGATTGCATCTTTGTCCCACTTTCAAAATCAACATGTATCATTTTTTCCACAGGTTTTCCACTGGTCTTCTGGTAGGAAAAACAAAACAAATGAGGATTTTTGTTTCACCTGCAGCACATTTGTACCTGCATTGCCTTATTTGCTCTGTCAGGGTTGCTAAGGTGGTCCTTTCTGGCACACTAACGTGCTGAAGAAACCCCTTTGGGCTTGCTGGCCCCGCAGTCTCTCTTCTCATTGTGCTGGGAGATAACCCTGCATTCATTTGTGTTAACATCAGAGAAACCTGAGGGCACCCTGAAGGAACTGCCATCCTGGGGCGTCCCAGGATGCTGTGTGTAAGACAGTAAGATAGAAACTTCCACATGACTCACTCATCCTTCCACAGACTCTTGACTGCTCTTGGCCTTTCTTTATCTAGCTCAGACCTGTAGCAGAGCCACTGCTTGGCCTCAGGAACATGTTTTGCAATGTGAACACCTCCAGTCTAGAGTTTTCTGGCCTCTGGGCTCCTCACAAGCAGAACAGCAAAACCACAAAATCTTAGTTTTAAACTCCGATCTTGCAATAGTGTTTAGCAGAATACATGAGTATAAATTTCATACCACTTCTTAAGAATTCCCTTCCCTGCAGCTGTAGATACACGTCACTAACCTCAGTGCTGCAGCAGTAACGCTGCAATGGGTTACTGTTGAAAAAGATTTAAAGCCTTCTTTATCTTCTCATCTGTATGTAACGTGCATTGTATACTGACCCCAAACTACTTAGAACTTATTTGTAATTACATATAGTCTGAGTTAAAAAGTGGCCTCAGAAGAGATCTGGGTTCACTGTTGACTTGGCCACACAGGTATGAAAATGTAGAAGTAGCATTTCATTTGCAAAAGAAGGACAAGCTTGGTGCTAGTCCTGGTGTAGAGAAGATCATTATCACTTAAATCTTAGCTAGTTGCCCTCTTTTGTTTATATCAACTATATATTGTGTATTAAACTTATAATTACTTCACATACTGGAATTAAAAAATCTGTTATCAGCACTACCTTTCATTGGTGTAAACCCAGAGTTAAAACCTAATCTGTATCCCATGAAGGTCAGGAATCTTTCATTTGCCTTCAGTGGGGAGCCAGCCAGGTTTATTGCCTATCTTTAGCACATCTACTATAGCAGCTCCTTTCTCTCCTCCTCTTCACTTCTTACAAACCTCCCAGGACAGGTCTGCTCTTCCTTCCTCTGTCAGGCAGTATCCAGGAATCCAGACTTTTCATACAGGTTATATATAATATCTTAATGAAAACCCCTTTTTACACAGATGTCTCAGAATGCCACCCTGCGGAGAGGTTTGCTGGTGATGCGCCATGGGGAAAGAGTTGATCAGGTCTTCGGCAAATCTTGGCTTCAACAGTGCTTAACTGCAGATGGTGAGTAAGATGATAGGAGGATCTTAGCAAATCAGAACCAAAACTGATTAATGCTGGTGGTGGATGCAAAAGACTCCATCTCCTACATGTAAATGTAGACACTGAGCAAATGAGTGAGTAACATTGCAAATCAGACACAGTAGCTTTGATCGGCATGGAACCAGTTCATAATGTCCTAAAGTCCTTCATTTTTATGTTGCATAAACTCTGAAGAACAAGCAAAGCTCTTGTGATACTGACGGATGTGTGTCCAACACAGGATCTCTACTGCTCATTACACAAGGTGGTGGTTGTCAGACCCCTCCCAGTCAGAACCATGGTCTGCTGATCAGAGTCACTGTATATCACTAGTCAAACCTGGGGAAAAAAAGCAAGAGAAAACCATGGTGGAAATGTCAGCACTGATCTAAATTAAAAATTGGATTTCTAGACCCTCTCTCAAAAAAAAGAAAAATAAAAAAAAATTTGAGATGAAGAAAGCTGACCCAAAACAGGGAAATATGTGTTAAGAGGGAAGGGGGGAACAAGGAGGTGTGAGTTCAGAAGGGAGAGTTTTGTGCTGAAAGGCTCCCTCGCTATGCTGGAGATCTCTTATGTTAAGTGTGTGAAATTCACAGTGGATATTAAAGTAGTACCTTCTGGCTGCGTATCCAGTTCTCTGGTTTCATATTTCTTTGGTGGGAATGTTGCTTTTCATCATATTAGCAGTGGTAAAAACTACCAATGTGGACTGGATCTTTGTTTCATTTGAGCCCCACAAAGCTGAATTATCACAAATTCCTGTCCCATCTCTTCTTCGCCGCATTTGCTCTTTCAGAGCTTGCCAAAGAGGTGCTGTTTTGTTAGGACAGGTTATTTCCCAAGCCAGTGTTGTGACCTTAAAACATGATGCCATGAGGGTAATAGCAGTGACTGGGGTTCTTTTCAAACGCAAGACACACTATCTATAGTACTAAAATAATCCTGTAGGCATCTGAGTTCAGGCACTGCCACATGATCCCCCAAACTGAGTGAGTGCAGACCACAGTCTGGCCCCAGTGGACAGGCAACATGGGTCCTTGAGGTGGAGGGAAGAGAGATTAGTTCCTTGGGGAGATGCTCTTCTTCATCGCCCTCTTGGCCAGGGAATGGGCTTTGACCTGTTCCATTTACCAGTCAAGATACCACTCTGGGCTGAGTTTTCAGAACCAGCCATCCAACCATTCAGAAGAAACAAAGCCATTATAACAAAACGCCACCTGAGGCTGCTGCTTTGCTTGCGCCACAGTAAAATGTCCCACTTCATTTCAGGAAAATATTACAGAGCAGATCTGAACTTCCCTTCCACCCTGCCAAAGCGGAAAGACAGCATGAAGCATTTTGAATATGATCCTCCTTTGTCTTGCTGCGGTATTTTCCAGTCAAGGCTTATAGGTAAGCTGGATAATACCCTATTGCAAATGTATGGGATTTGGAAGCAGGCTTTCATTATCTGCAAAAGCTCATACTGGCTTGGTAGTATCAAAAGCTCCTAGAAGCACTGATTGCTTGTCTTTGAGACCCATTCTACCAGTTCCTGGTAAAGAAAGTTAGTCTGTGACCCAATTCACTCACCAGATGAAGCTGTTTCTGCTCCCTGAGCAATTGTGCCGACTGTAACAATGCAAGTCTGGTGCAGATGCTTCTCTCTGATTCAGATATGTGGACAGGCAAATGCCTAACTAACTGCTGAATGGAGGTTTGGAGTGAATCTTCAGCAGTTATCTCTCCAATGCTCATTTTAAACTTGCTGCTGCCACTAGAATGAGATTTTCAGTGGGCTCAATAAGCCAGTAGCTTGAAAAAAATACTGTCAATGTATCCTATGTCAATAAAACCGAAAAGATCTAAGCTGTTTTCTACAGAAAGCATTTTGTGACAGTTTCTCATCTGTCATGATTTATAAAAGAGCAACCCGCTTTGCTGTTCCCAACCAGGGGAAGCTCTGCTGGACCAGGAGGTGACAGTCAGCTACGTGTACTCATCACCTGCGCTCCGCTGCATACAGACAGCTCAACACATACTGCAGGGTAAGGCAGCGAAAGCAGCTGGGTGCTTTTGCCACAGTGAAAATGTCTTCACCAGACTTTTGTGAGGTCTCTGAGATGAGCAATTAAGAAGCTGTACTGCTTTGTGGTTATTTGTTGTTATATTGAAACAAGGAAGACAAGGTGGTTTTGTCTCACTGGTAATACAGGCAGTAATAAACCTGCTGCCATGTGTATGATCTGCAGAGCATTAACTCTAGTCCTCACTATTTGAAAAGGAATCTAATGTTATATGAAATAGAGGTGTTTCACATCAGGTTGAATTCAACATTAGTACCTGCTCACCGGATCACCACTGCCACCTGTTTCAGATAATGTTCTGAGCCAAAAAAGCAGATGTTTCCAGTACTCTGAAGGGTATCTATGTGAATCAGGGAACACAGCTTTCTTCTGAAAGCATTTGTATTTGCAAGCCAAACTATTTTCATTCCTTTGTATTGCAGAACCTCTTTCCTTCTCTTTCTTCCCCTTCTTCTCTTCTTCTTTCCTCTTCTGTCCCCTCCAACACATCTGTCAGGTTCACAGCTCATTACTATGTTTTCATCAGAATTATGATGGGAGTGTATTTTTTCTGTGAACTAGAAGAAACAAACTTCCTCTCAGTAACCTGTCTTGAGGATAATCAAAAAAAGAACATGTCTTTTGGTGAGAGGATTCCACTGTAGGACAATGCAGTGCCCCCCAAGGACAACTGAGTAAAATGCTACATAAACATCACAAAAACATTTCCCATCTGAAGTTTATTCAGATTGTAACATTACTGGGGCATTTTCTTCTGTTCTGTTCTGTACCTTGCAGATCATCACAAGACAGCTCTGTTAATAATAATACTGATGATGATGATGATAATATAATAATTTGTAGTGCCTTAACATTAGTCAGACAATATAATGGTGGCTTCATTTAATCAACATTACCCTTTTTTGTTTGAAAGTAATTCATTTTCATTGATGAAAGTATTATAGCAAACAAGGCAGAATGTATAGCCTGAGTGTAACACTTGAGTGTACCTTCCTCTTGTTAGGTAATATTTCTTGTTCTTGCAGGGCTTAAATTAGATCAAAAAGTCAAAATCAGGGTGGAACCAGGACTGTTTGAATGGACCAAGTGGGAAGCAAGCAGAGTAATTCCTAGCTTCATGACTGTGACAGAACTGGAAGAAGCATCTTACAAAATAGATACAAGTTACAGGTAATTGCTCCATATGTAACTGTTAAAGTCTTATTTTTTCCCAAGTTGTCTCCTCATCTTTTTATAAACAGTTATGAACATTGCAAAAACTGGGTGATTCTGGTCAAATTCAAGCCTGCATGATCAGTTCCTAAAGTAAGATGCTATCAGCTGTCTTGTAACAGGAGTCAGTTTTGCCGCTCTGACGCAGCAACACGTGTGCACAGTTGACAGTGTGCGTGTACGTAGCGCCTGGGTGCACCTGCACACACAAAACTTGTGTGTAAGACCATCCCTGCTGTGGTGTTGCCTTCAGATATGCTGGCTCAGGCCCATGTTGTGTTATGCACAGGCATAGCTGTGTTACAGGCATTAGTGTCAGGTACCAGGAGTCTTGTTTTTACCTTTGGCTCATGTGAAGCACACTTTAGGAAGGTGAAGAATAACCTCTTGGGTAGTTAACATGATGGTGTTCAGCAGTGGGGAAATGTGACTTTAGAACAGGTTAGTAAGCTCTTTGCCGAGGGTCTGCAGGGCAGCATCAAGAGATCTGCCCCATAGCAGAGGGTAGCACAGCTTGGAAGAAGGCTGGGGGCTGAAATGTCCCTGGTTTGTGTCACTGAAGCAATAGACACAAGAGGAAGGGAAAGCAAGGGACCAACGCTGTGCAGATCTACGCAGGGACTGTGGAGAGGGAGGTGAGCCTAACAGAAACCATCCATCCTTCTGGTTTTGGGGGCAGGTAGGATAACAGCTTTTCACTATCATTGATGTTTGTGCCAAATTTGGTCAGGGAGGGGGCTTGGTTTGGTTTGAGTTGCTCAAAGATTAAAACTGTGCTTAGCAAGGACTTTTTGGAGCTTTCACAATTTGGGGAGGGCAGGTGATGCCTTTCCTGAGCGCTTGCAAACCACCACACGGCAGGAAATGATAAACCTCCAATTCAATCTAGCTCCTCATCTTGCTCACAAACCAGGCTGCTCTGTGTTCACAGTGCACAGCCAGACCCAGGAAATTACTCAGTTAACAAGAGTGTCTCTGGGGTTTCCTACGTGTACAAGAAAGAGGGAAAGGAAACATTTTGTGTCTTACTGCATTTCTGCATTATGAAACATAATGAAGCAAGTGTCTTCATTTGAAATTGCATGAAGGAATAAAATCCTTCATTTTCTTGGATCATAGTTTGTTCTGGTATGTTTTACCACCAGGAGACTGGTTTTCCTATTTTTCTCAGTACAGACTCACTTGCCTTGGGAGAAAGTGTGCAGATGTCCAGCAGTGGGAAGTTCAGAGGGGAAGCTCTGAAGCAATGCTAACCACAGGATTTAGACCCCCTCACAACTCACTGGGATTCAGCAGGCTAGTTATGAGCACCCCAATCTAGATTTGTCCAGCCTAGCCAGGTTTAATATTAGCTGTGATTAGCAACCCAGCATGAGCTTTTCACACGCTTTTACCACCTACTTTCTATTACTGCCATTTGTGCTGACATAATGTACTGAGGACTCACCTGTGAAAATACACTGCAGTACCATTCCTTACTACAATATATTACTCTGATCTCACTTGTGCCTATTCACTGAATAAGCAGACAATCAAATCAGGGTGAGGGGGGCAGTTGTTTGTAGAAAAAAATTAGCACACTGTATTGTATCACAGCGCAGGGCTATTTGCCAGCTGTAGCAATGAACACTTCCCATTCCCAGAGAAGACAGATTAAGAGGATGACATGAAAAATACAAAGTGGCTTTAGTGAAGTTTTATTCTGTTGCTAAGAAGCACTGATTCAATCATCATCAAAGAGAGGAGCCTGTTGAGAGACAGCAAATAGCTGGTCCTGCTGCCCACTTTGCCTGTCCTGCATCTCTGAGAAGGCTGTTAGGGCCTCTAATCATTGGGAATTTGGTGTTCCCAGCTGCCTACCCTTACCATCACCGGCCACTGCACATCAGGGCTCTGCAGGGTCTTCCCTGCTGCTGCCAGGCTGGGGCAGGGTGAGGGGCATCCATCAACCCAAGCCCTACTGGTCCTGTGTGGCTGCCTCAATTCGAAGCAGTTTGAAGGTCTCGCTCCTTTTTTGGGAAAATATTTATTCTGTGCATGAAGAGCCCCAGTACATAAAAGAAAGAAGAATGCCTGGTCTCACTAGCAGTGCTCAGATACTTAGGAGCGGTGCATTGTAATGTCCCTAGCAACACTTTTTAACTCTAGGAGTGAAAATCCGTTTGTCCAGCTAATGCAGATATGCCTCACTTGTTGTTGATTTCATTTGCTTTGTTTATTAAGGAGACTAAAACTGAGACACCAAATATTGAATGCATTCACATCATTGGTGTCTTGCCTTGGATTGAACTTGGTCAAGATTGCTATAGCTGCGGCTCTGCAAGTCTGCAGTCCATAGCTGGGCTATAATAGTCCTTGCTGATAGAACTGCTCAAAGCTTACCTCTTCTTAGGCATGAATCCTACTTTAAGTAATATTCACTGTAGTCTATAAGTTTCATTAAAGCATGGGTTTCCCTGCATCTGATGCTTTATGAGCTGTGAGGTTTAGCCGTAAGATTTGATGGAAATTGCCGTGGGGGAAAGCTAATGCTGCATGAAAGATGAAGTAGCAGTGTATCAGCCAAGTCAGTAGATAAACCTGTATCTGTTTAACCAAGTGCCTTTTCTCCAGTGTAGTCATTCAATAGTGCTAACAGTGTTCAAGTATTTATCTAGATTAACATATATTTGTGATTTTAATGTCAGGGGTAACTTCCCACTCTCTTCACTGGTGCCATCGGAAAGTTATGAAGAGTATGTAAGCAGAAGCTCTGCAGTTATAAAACAAATCATCACTGCCTGCCCCAGCAAAGGTAAAGGTTTCAGATCTTTGTATGTTCTATCAGAAGCTTCAGCAGCAGGACCTGGCAGAGATTTGCCAACAGAAACACATTTAACATGAGTTGTTGGTACTGCACAGAGCATAAGGTAGAGATTTTGTCTTGGGCTACACTAAATTAAAATACATGCAATTTATGGGATAGAAATTAAAAAGTAAAATTAAAAGACAGCAGAGTACTAAATTGCAAAAGTATACTCTCTACTTGGTCTTTCTACATCAGGATGCAGCTCTGCATAAGATAATATACTTTTCTGGAAAGTTTTGGGTTTTTTTTTTTCCTGTTTTCCTTTAAATTCTTTCTCTCACCAGCTGGCATGACTGCAACACAGCAGACTTTTTCTGACCAGTACTATACACCTTGCCACATTATCAAAAAGATCTTAAAGGTGATGGGTAACCTGACAGTGCTGCAGATCCCTTACTACTTTGGTTTTTCCTGGTGTATCAGGTGTCATCCTCATTGTGGGCCATGGCTCTTCCTTGGCATCTTTCACTCGACCTCTGATAGGGCTCCCCACCAGAGACAGCAAAGACTTTGCCCAGGTGGTACGAAAGGTAAGAATACTTTTTTTACAGTAAGAAGCTTTCTTTTTGTTTTATTATACTTTTAATAAGGAGACTTCCTATGCTGTGAGACATGACCATAGCTGCATGCCAGTACCAACGACATTAGCTTTCTCATTGCAAAGGGAATCTCATGTAGTTTTAGTGAAACACTGGAGGTCCAGAGAAGGATTTTTTCCTGGTAAACAGTATGTGACTAATAGCTAAGATTTTGTAGAGGATTTTCACCCAGCTCCACTGGAAAGTCAATGCCAGGTAACACCTACAGACCTCCCATATGAAGACAGGCTAAGATAGTTGGGGCTGTTCAGGCTGGAGAAGAGAAGGCTGCACGGAGACCTCATAGCAGCCTTCCAGTATCTGAAGGGGGCCTACAGGGATATTGGAGGGGGACTTTTCATCATAATAGTACAGGACAAAGGGTAATAGGTTCAAACTTAAACAGGGGAAGTTTAGATTGAATATAAGGAAGAAGTTCTTTACTGTGAGGGTGGTGAGGCACTGGAATGGGGTGCCCAAGGAAGTTGTGAATGCTCCATCCCTGGCACTGTTCAAGGCCAGGTTGGACAGAGCCTTGAGCAACATGGTCTAGTGTGAGGTGACCCTTCCCATGGCGGGGGGTTGGAACTAGATGATCTTAATGTCTTTTCCAACCCTAACTATTCTGTGATTCTATGAGGCACATTTGGAAACCTCTCCATTTGGATCTAGCTTCTTTCCTTTAGAAATGGGGCTAAGAGCCCACCCTCTCCTCCCCAAGATGCTGTGAGTGTGACCTGCATCTATGTTCAGTGAAGCCATTCTTTAAGAAGCTGTTTTTCAAGTCACTGCAATCTCACAACTTTCACACTCAGCTACAGAACGGAGAAGGTTTTTTTGCCAGCTTCACTAGTGGGGCATATGCTTGAGACTTGGTTACCAAGGTTTCTTGTTTACTCTGTTTGTGTATTATCACCAGTGACAGAATTCTTCCCCCCAGTTTTCTTTACCACATGCCCTAGTGTGACCAACCAGAGAATTCAGTCTTAGGATATATTTTTACTACTGCAGTCAAAACATAAGAAGGCATGAATATATTCTGAGTATCAAACACAAGTATGAATGTGCAGTGATGACTCAAGTTCAGCTTTCACCTCACAGGCCTTCAGTCTGTTTTTTAGTTCTTCTCAAAAGTGACAAAATGTCCTGGTCTCTTCCCCCCAGAAGAATCTCAGTGTCTGATCTCTTCTGTAGCAAAGCCCTCTCTTTCTTGTCAAAACGATGACCCTGCTAGTAATTCTGCTGGTAACTTCTTTCCTAGATCCCTTCACTGGGCATGTGTTTCTGTGAAGAGCTGACAGAAGAGAACAAATGGCAGATGGTCAGCCCACCAGTGAAGACATTAACCCATGGAGCAAATGCAGCATTTAACTGGAGAAATGGTATTGTGGAAGATTAGAATGAAGGCTCTGCCTGTGCTGTTGTCAAAAAGGAGCCAAAGACAGATTATGGTTCAGCAGAGTACAGTCATTCCTCCAGAAGACTTACAGAGAGGGGGAAATACCCTCCCTGAGTTGTCAAAGCACAGAAAAACACTTCAAGTTTCGTGCCTGAATTCTGTTTTTATTTCAGTGGCTGAGAAGAAGGAACCTAGTAACTGGCATGCAAGTGAGAAATAACTGGTGAAGAGAGTACCTTTTAACGCTTTCTGAGAGTACCAATGTTTAATAAATATGGAACCGCCTGATTATAAATTCTACCGCTAAAGGCACTAAAAGTAGACAATGTTGCATTTTCCAAGACCAAAATACATCCAGTAAGAATTGGGTTTTTTTAAGGCACTTGGATTTTTTCAGACAAGCAGAGAAACTGGGACTGAAAAAAGTCATTTCCTACCTGAAGAGGAGACCGAGACCAGCTCTACCTAAAGCCCCTGGCTTTCCTGTTCCCTCCATCAGTTCTATGACAGCAACCACCACACTATTTATTTACCTCTCCTACAAAGAGGGCCCGTTTTTTATCACAACTGCTCCTCATTCAGTGATTCTTGAGTGATCTGCATTGAAAAAGGGACTAAATGATTCTTTTTTGAAGAAAACTGTTTGCTTTAGTGTTGATGGAGCAAAAAAAAAGACTCCTTGCATTACTGTACTGCCGACGGCGAGGAGAAGCAAGACAGGACAACCCAATATGAGTGATAAGCAAGCTTCTGCTTTATTCGTGTTGCACATCACTTATATCCTCATTGTGTTAATTATGCCTACTAGTCATAACAGCATTGGTTAGTTCTAAACGGTTACATTTATTCTCCTCCCAGATACAGCTCCTGTTTTCAAGGATCTTCAACCGCAACCCAGCCCCTAGGGACTTTCCCCAGAGCTCAAGGGCGGTGTGTCCTTCAGCTTAAGTCACCTACATGTGAGGCCTACACTTTGCTTTGCTCGCACAAGGCCTCCAAGGATTCATGGCCTTGCTCTTGGAGCCATTCTGCAACACTGTACTGGTGGCAAAACTGTGATGTGGGCAACCCTAACTGCCGAACACTTCCTGAGATGGCACTTGCAGGACAACAGCTTTCATTTCTGCTGTTCTGTGCCAAATTGCATAGATGATGCAAAATAATTGCAAAATAATTGCAAAATGCCTCTGTAGGTCTTCTTTTGGTGATTTGTTTAATTAAGGGAACGTAGACCTGCATAAACAGGCACATACCTTCCTTCAGACTCTTCTTTTCTAGTTATTTCTTGGATAATTACCTCTGGGAAAGTGCAAGCGTTTCTTTCAATGAAAGGAAAAACTGGAGGTTTCTCTTTCTCTCTTAATGTGACTAAAAATGTTTTCAATTTCACTCTTCATCTCCCTGTTCCTTCTTGACATATCTCTGCACGAATGCTGTTAGCCATCAGGCCATCCAACATTCAGGCTTTGGGACTGAGTGGTGTCTGACAAGCACCAGTGTTTGTGGGTGTGGAGATTTCGTATCTTGATCTTGCACCTGAAATGATTCATTTTGACTTTCTAGCTCTGGTGGTGTTCCTCAAGCTCTTCCTTTTCTGACAGTGCTCTCATTTTAAAGTGAAAATCAAATGACTCAGGGCAAAGACAGAAGCTCTTTAGCTAGCAAGGGAGGGCATAGGACTGCATCTCTGCTTGCAGCTCAAGCGCATGAGATGGGTAGCTACTGATGCAGCCCTGGAAAAAGGTGAAACCCCAAGTACCGTGACAGCCTCTTCTTTCTCCAGGGGAGCAGGAGGCCCCCTCAGTGCTGAGAAGACTGTGGCTTGGTTACTTTTCCACACCTCACCCCAGCACACACTTGCTGTCAGCTGTGAGGGGTTGGTGTGGTAAGGGACTGTTCTGAGCTGAGCCCTCAAGGCAGTGGCAAGGCTCCTCTGTGGTCTTCAGGGAAGGCTGTGAGGCAGAAGTCTAGCTGAGAAAGGGCCATACGGTACATGAAAATCAGCACAAAGGGGAAGAGCAAGGTGGTGAGGGAGGGAGCAACATCTCGGTCTTATGCTTAGCCATGCTAACGGCAACCAGCAGGGTCTCCCATCACACCACTTGCTGTCTCAGATTGGCCTCAGCCCCAACCACAAGAGAAAGTCTTGATGAAAAGCATCCCCTCTGAGCACCCTCTTTTGTCACTGAGGAGCCTGTGCAAGTGGGAAGGCAGGGGAAAATGGGGACAGCACGGTAATGGGGGTGGCAAGGGGCAAGAACCTGGCCTAGGGCATGGCACATCTCTGCTCATTCCTGGGAGGTTTGAGCTCAATGCCTGCAGAGGAGTCAGCTCACACCTCACAGTGCTCCCATGGGGTCTTCCTCTCTATGAAAGCTGTGGCTTTTGGTACAATTTTCTCTTGATTTCATGAAACAATTTCAAGCCACAGGAGAGGTGTCACCTGGCAGGCTGTCACCCCAGACTGAAACCCCAATGTGAGAAATGGTCCCAGCTTTAACAAGAGCTTGGGGGTGAACACAGGTTTACTTCTAAAGAGCACTTCGTAGGATCAGAGCTGAAATTATATCTTTAACATACAAGGGTTCTTCATTGTAAAAATCTAGTGCTTAGGAGAGAGAGAGAATTCCTGATGTGGTGTGTTATTAATATGAAACTATTTGCTGAACACAGGTGAAATTAAGGACATGTCCTTGGAAGCTTCAAAGTTGTTTTTGCAGTTAGCAAAAGACATATGGAATTCTTTTCCAGTTTCTTGATTTTACTTTTTTTTTAGTGCAACTTCAAAAAATAGATGTTGCTTTACTACACTGCAATTTTCTTTAATTGGATCTATTTCACTACAAACTTATGTACTTCAATAAATGTTTTTAGTACCACTTAGATAATCTGAGTGTTTTCTTTATATCTTAAAACCTGAAAATATAAATTCCTTTGATAAAGACCTACAGAGAAGTTAATCTATGGTGACACCTTGTGGGAAAACACGACCTCAGATTTAAGTGACTATGTAAGATCTGGTGTGGTTGAAAGATGGGTCAGAGAAGCAAGCTTTATGTGTTATTTGTTTTTCCAAACATGAATGCTCCTTCCATACACTTTGAAAAGATAGTAGCATAGAAATTTACAATAATGTTTGGGACTACTTTTAGGCAGAACTTCTTGGAGAGATACTTGAGTTCAGTTCTTCTCAAAAGCAAGATGAAAAAATCCTACAAACATTTCGTTCATGATTTTCTCAAAGCTTTCTTCTTGTGCCAGTGCTGACCTGCGCAATTCAGCTCAGAACAGCAGTTAATTCTGTTCCTTTCTTGTGAAAGTTTAAATCCTCAACTGAGGACTAAATCAGCTGAGTGGATTTTTTATTGTCTCCTGAGAGCTTTGTTATTGAAATGCTCCAAAACAAAGGGATTTTTCTTGTTATTTATTAAAAAAAAAGTTATTTTTATTATCTATAAGACTGCACGAAGCTGTTAACTGTGAGTTCAGAGAATGTATGGATCTGGTATTGATCTTCTAGTGCTTTTTTCAATGGGTGATTAAAAATTAAGATTTTCAAGCCTCTGAACTTGAGAACAGCATGAAAGCCTTGAACAAATAAAAGACTGCTACAAGGAATAGGAAGGAGTTAGTGAATAATTGAATTTTATAATACAGTGTTTGGTGGAGATCACAAAAGGTCTGGAGGGCACTCTGGGGCTCTTGACTCATAACACCTAGTGAGAAGACAAACTGTAAACCCTCTATATGGGATCTTCCTGAGCTTCCTGGGTTTTCTGTGATGATACTTTCTTGGTGTGAGATCTTGACAACTCCGAGCGCCTCATTTAGCTGCAATGAACTCTTGTGACCAGCTTCTACATCAACTGTGGAAAAGGCCTCATCTCTGGGGGAGAAGCAGCTCTGGAAGTCACATAAGATTGGGTTTCCTGATGTTTTTCTAAGACATGTGGAGCATAGATACTCTCAGCATCTTTTTTTTTTTTCCATGCACAGCTTCATACATGAGAGTTGATTACTGACTCTTAACCTCAGATTCATAATGTCTTACTTGTCATTGATGTACCCAAGGTCAGGTTGGACCTTGGGGGCTTTGAGCAACCTGGTCTAGTGGAAAATGGCAGGGGGCTTGGATGAGATGATCTTTAAAGGTCCCATCCAACCCAAATAATTCTATGATTCTATGATTTAAAGGTAAAGAACTGGACACCTAAATCAATATTAGATTGTCGTGGTTTAAGCTCAGTCGTAAATCACACAGTCTCTCTCTCACACCCCCACAACCCCCCCCCTTTCTTTCCCCTGCTCCTGGAGGGATGGGGAGGAGAATTGAAAGAATGTGACTCCCATGGGTTGAGATAAGAACAGTCCAGTAACTAAGGTATAACACAAATCACTGCTGCTACTACCAATAATAATAATGATAAGGAAAATAACAAGGGAAGAGAATACAACTACTCAACACTCACCAACTGATACCCAGCCCGACCGAGCAGGGCACCCTTCCAGGTAACTGCCATCAGTTCTACATCCTGGGCATAATGTGCTGTGGTATGGAATACCCCTTTGGCTAGTTTGGGTCAGGTGTTCTGTCTCTGCTTTCTACCGGCTTCCCCTCCTCCCTGGCAGAGCATGAGACTCAGAAAGTCCTTGGTCAGAGTAAACATTACTGAGCAGGAACTAAAAACATCAGTGTTATCAGCGCTGTTCCCAGGCTGAAAGTCAAAAACTCAGCACTGCACCAGCTACTAAGAAGGAGAAAAGATGACTGCTACTGCTCAACCCAGGACATAGATGCATAGGTTAAAATAGCCTAATATTTTCAAAGAATGCTTCACCAATTTTGGAGTAAGTTGTACAGTAGAGTGATAATCTAAGGTTGAAAACCTGGAAGGAAAGCTTCAAAGCCTTGAGTTCAACATCATATCCTCACATTCAGCACATATTTTTTTTTAGTCTATTTAGGAAGAAGTCTGAAAAAATGACTGCTTCGGTACTATCTGAAGAGGTCTTCGGTCACTACTGAAAAATTAAGAGGCAGAATGACAAGAGAGGCTACCATACCTTTGATTTGGAGAAAACTCCAGGAACAAACTCGCCAACAAAGTTTTCAAGCTGACAAGAAGGTATTCTTTATTGCAGTGCAAGGAGACACAGGGGATAGCTCCTCCTAACGTGTGTCCCCGTATTGCTACACAAGCCATCCTTATGGGCATACATACATATTCATGAGGCTACATATGGATTACATCATTTTCCAGAATGTTCCTCGCATGCGCACAAAAATGTGGTGGTGGTCTCTGAGGGTCGTTTACTTCTTCCAACAATCTTCATCACTTCTGGCACCCTTCAAAGTACGCTCTTTAGATGTTTATACCAGCTTAATTGGTTCGTTAACACCACAGACACATCATCCTGTCCTACTTACCAATTAGTTTAACTGCAGCCCATCCTGGACACCTGCCATTCCCAGATACTTCTTATCCTTACGTCCTGTTCTTTTAGCCTTTTTTTTCTTAAACTCAGTTTGTACTAACCTCATAAGGGCCTAAAACTATGTCAACTGCAGCAGTTTATCTTGTACAAGAATTATCAGTATGTTCTCTAGCTGTACTCTTTTTTTTCTCTATGTATCATGCACCTCAGTAATTTTCCATTGCTACTG